TAGTCACACGTATTCAGACAACTAACCTACTGACTCTTAGAAAAAAGGCCAGGTTTTATATCTCATGATATAAGCACGGAAGGATCTCTCACTCCACAAGCTCAGCACCTTTGTCTTACCCAGCAAGACCTCAAGTCTTTGTCTGTTCCCTTGTGGCTTGTAATAAGTCACAGGAATGGGATTGTGCTATGTGACTTCTGAGACAGGATCATGGACAGCCACACAGCCTCCAGCTCCAGCTCTGGAGTCCTCAGCACCCTGTGAGTGGCCTGATGGCTGAGGCTGCCATGTGGTGAGGAAGCCAAGCTCCCAAGTGGACTCTCCACACAGACCCTGGGATTAAACGGACAGAGAAAGCATGTCCACCCGCCCACCCACCCCCATCCCACCTACCCACAGCAGCAACCTCCCAGCCAACCTTACTCATTGCCCAGTGCAGATTTTCTAAAAGATACAAGCCATTGTTTGAGCCACTGGAGACTAGAATGATTAACGAATCACATAGCAACAGATAACCAGCGCCGAGAGACATCTGACTTCCTTCCACTGTATATGGGACAGCCACAGTTAACTCCTTTTTTTTGGCATAATTATTGATATTCATTCCTTTCTCCCCAAAGTGTGCCATCTGGATATTAAACTATCTGGTCACCCTACCTTTGGCCAGGTTCTTGGAGTATAATAGCCACACTTTTGCCTCTCCCAATTCGGAATGATGGAAATGCATGAGGCCCCTTGCAACAGATTCAGGAAGTCAGCCCTTGTTCTCTTTCCCGTTCTCCTCTTAATTTTGTTCTGCCTAGACTCTCAGTGGTTGCTTTGCCAAGAGGTTTCTTCAGGCCAGGCACCACCCCTCAAAACCTCCAGAAGGGCTTCCTCCAATAAACTGGCATCCTCAGTACAAATAGGACACCTGCTATGCAACTGCATTCTGATAAGCCCCAGGGATTGAAGCCACTTAGCCCTTCCTGGTGGAAAACTCTGGAACTGCTGCTGATCCTCAGGGTAGGCAGGTAAGCATATTTAGAACAGGTGAGACAGATTAATGAAAGAGATGCTCGCTAGTTGGGCGCCAGTGGCTCACACCTGTCATCCTAGCTATTCAGGAGACTGAGATCCAGAAGATCATGGTCTGAAGCCAGCTCAAGTAGAAAGGTTCACAAGACTTATCTCCAAAGTAATCAGCAAAAGGATGAGCCAAAAGCAAGGTTCAAGTGGCAGAGCACCACCCAAGCAAGAACAAGGCCCCGAGTTCAAGCCTTAGTAAAACCAGAATTTAAAAAAAGGAAAAAGAGCTGAGACATCATTAAATACAGGAAAGCAAGTTCTTGGAACAGGACTCAGGCACAAGACAAGCTCTACATTAGCAGGCAAGAGAGAGAATGAGGACAGATGAGTGTGGACCTCATTCAGGTTCAATGAGAACATGGGATCTCCTGAAGATCTGGGAGATGTGCACACAGAGCCCCCAAAAAACTGTAGACGTGGGTCTCAAGGAATGAGACTCAAGATCATGAACTGTTAAGAAAAGTGCCAGCAGGCAGCTGCCCTTCAAACTTGCAGGCCCTAGATGACTTCATCCTCCTGAGTAAAGGGAAGCCCAGGAGGGAGGGAGTGTGATCTGATCTGACGTAAAGAAAGGTCCTCAGCTACCACCTTCTGAGAGCTGAACATGCAGGCAGAAAGAGAGGCATAGTGTCAAGAGAGGGAAGGCAAGACCTCCTACCCAAACCAGGGACCCACTACTGAGAATGAGGCAGTACACTCCAAACCCTTGTCCATCTAGGCAGACTGGAATGACTAGGCCAAAATTGGGGAAAGACAATTAAACTCTAACATAAGAAGCTGAAACAGATGGCCCACAGCAACCAAAACACATATGAGAAAAGCCATGATCCAAGCAATTTGGCAAAAATACATCCACCCCACCATTGCGTTTCAGAACACATTACAATTGATCTTAAGTATACTAACATTCATCAAGTGTTTATTTAGGTGCCCAGAGTAAGGTGCTAAGTTCATCTTTTCATTAACTTATCACAGAACTCCTTCCTACTATTAACAGTCCAATAAACAAGTATCCCCAGGCACAGTTCTAAAGAAGAAAGACAATACTCTTATTCTTAGGTTTCACTAAAGAGAGCTGCAGCCTAAAGAAACAATACTTAGAAAACAAGATCTATAAAGAAAATAAGAGTATGGGAACAAGAGGGGTGAAGGAGCAGATCTTTTAGGAAAAGACCTTGTAAAGAAGTCTCTGTCACACACACACACACACACACACACACACTGGACCTCATGTGTACCAGGCAAATACTCTACCACTGAGCACACACACACTGGACCTTATGTATACCAGGCAAATACTCTACCACTGAGCACACACACACACACACTGGACCTCATGTATACCAGGCAAATACTCTACCACTGAGCACACACACACACACTGGACCTCATGTATACCAGGCAAATACTCTACCACTGAGCGCACACACACACACTGGACCTCATGTATACCAGGCAAATACTCTACCACTGAGCACACACACACACACTGGACCTCATGTATACCAGGCAAATACTCTACCACTGAGCACACACACACACACTGGACCTCATGTATACCAGGCAAATACTCTACCACTGAGCACACACACACACACTGGACCTCATGTATACCAGGCAAATACTCTACCACTGAGCGCACACACACACACTGGACCTCATGTATACCAGGCAAATACTCTACCACTGAGCGCACACACACACACTGGACCTCATGTATACCAGGCAAATACTCTACCACTGAGCACACACACACACACACTGGACCTCATGTATACCAGGCAAATACTCCACCACTGAGCTAAATCCCCAGCCCGAGTCTTCTTCTTCCTCAATGGAGACGGGGCTTTGTTATGTAGCTAGGCTGGTCTTGAATTCCTGATCATCCTGATTCATCTCCCAAATGCTCGAATTGGGAATGGAAAGCCTGCACTATAGTAATTGCATTCTTGGAAAGAGATAATGATAATGGATCTAACCAGCCACAGGTTAACCTGCGGGCAGAAAAAAAGGCCTGCACTAGCTGAGAAATGAGGACCAAGTACTTAAGGTGCAAAGCGAAGGCCACAGTGGCCAGAGTAGAGAATGTCTGGATGGGAAATTTACAGAAGAACCAGGCAACTCATAAATGTCTCCCGTTTCCTTCTCAGCATGTAACAGGAAGCTGCTAAAAGAAGGGATCTACCACAAGCAAGACTGGACCCAAGCCTATGGGAAGATGGTAAAAAATAAAAGTGATAGCACTCAAGATGCATTTGAAAGTAGAACAAGAGGACTTAGGTGATACCTGAATGTGGTGGGGATATAAAAAGGAACTGGCAATGAGGACTATGAGGCTAGATACCCGCATGACTCAACCATCCAGCGAACAAAAATTAGGCAACTACAACACAGTCAAATCCACAGCTGAATAGGCAGGTTTAAAGAAATCCCATAATCCAACTGACACCACCAGAAATGTGGGGAAGATACCAGAAATGCAATTGTGTGTGTTTGTGTGGAGTCTAGTGAATTTATCTGGCACTCTACCTCAGCTTGGCTTTGGGCTGGTTTCACTGATGGCAGTCTCATGGATTTCCTGCCTGGGCTAGTTTCCCCACCTTGAGCATCTATAATAACAGGCAAGGGCGGCCAGCGAGAGACACTTTCTTTTTCTTTTTAAACCCTTTATTACCTCCAAATTACAGCAAAGGAAACTAAAGCCCAGAGATCCGCATCCTTAAATCGTCGGTCCACGAGTGACCCCCTCCCCCCGGCCCGCCCCCCTCCCCCCCCGGTCCCCCTCCCCCCCCGGCCCGCCCCCCCGGCCCCCCCCCGGCCCGCCCCCCTCCCCCCCGGCCCGCCTCCCCCCCGGCCCGCCCCCCCCGCCCCCCTCCCCCCCCGCCCCCTCCCCCCCGGCCCCCTCCCCCCCGGCCCGCCCCCCCCGGCCCCCTCCCCCCCGGCCCGCCCCCTCCCCCCCGGCCCGCCTCCCCCCCGGCCCCCTCCCCCCGGCCCCCCCCGGCCCGCCCCCCTCCCCCCCGGCCCGCCTCCCCCCCCCGGCCCGCCCCCCTCCCCCCCGGCCCGCCCCCCCGGCCCCCTCCCCCCGGCCCGCCTCCCCCCCGGCCCGCCCCCCCTCCCCGCCCCCCCGGCCCGCCTCCCCCCGGCCCCCTTCCCCCCGGTCCGCCCCCCCTCCCCGCCCCCCCGGCCCGCCCCCCCCCGGCCCGCCTCCCCCCCGGCCCGCCTCCCCCCGGCCCCCTCCCCCCCGGCCCGCCTCCCTCCCCCGGCCCGCCCCCCTCCCCCGGCCCGCCCCCCGGCCCGCCCCCCCCGGCCCGCCTCCCCCCCCGGCCCGCCCCCCCCGGCCCCCTCCCCCCCGGCCCGCCCCCCTCCCCCCCGGCCCGCCCCCCTCCCCCCGGCCCCCCTCCCCCCCCCGGCTCCGCATCCTCATAGGGCCGACCCGGACACCTCCGTCCGACACTCGAGCTTCAGAGACGTGGGTTAATGTTTGAGCCGTGGCGGCCACCCCGAAACCGGCAGCTTGGACACGCAGCTCGCTTTACCCGCTCTGACCCTCTACAGCCACCTCCCCGGTGGCCTCCCCGGCCTAAAAACAAAACCCAAACCAGGCAGGACGACAGACGCTAACGAAGGCGCTCGGCCTCCCGGGCCGGAGCGCCCAGCCCGGAAGCGCCGTGCGGGAGCCGCGGGGCACTGTGGGAGAAGGCGGGCCCAGCCGGCCGTAAAGCACCCCTCGCACCCCGCACGGCCACGTTTCCATTCCAAACGTTTAAGGGGCGTCCCCGGACAAGACCTGACGTAACAGCTCCCTCCGCTTCTCGGCGCCTCAGAGACCAATGAGAACGCACGGCGACGGAGTTCCGGGTGCAGCCTCGCTTTACGGCTCGGCGTCCTTCCGGCGGTAGCAGAGACGCAGTTTACGACGGTGCCGGCCGTGTTTACGGCGCCGCGGTGGGCGCGCGCGTTTCCTCTTTTCCCGGTTCCTCCCTGTGGGCCCGGCCGTGCTGTCTCCGGCCCCGATAATCTGTCGCCATCCGGGCCGGCCGAGGCCATCGCAGGTGAGCGACGCGTTTCGTGGTGTCTCGCAGGCCTCCGGAGCCAGCTCGGGCTAGGCCTGGCTTTCGGGGACCTCCCGGAAGGGACCCCTCACGTCCTCCACCGTCGCTGGCCCTCCGCTGGGCGGGGCCCCAGACCCGGCACCCCGAGGCCCAGGAGCCAGGATTCGGCCTTGGGGGACGGGGGGTAGAGGGGGTAAATAACTCCAGCCTGTGCTTCGTGGGCTGGGCAGACTTGCTTCTGTCACTTACCCCAGCTGTGGCCGTGGATTCCCTAGTTTCTGAGTGGAGCGTTGGAGAGGGGTGGGGAGGGCAGCGGTGTTGTACCCCTGAAAAGTTCACTCCAAAAGTCTTCCCTGTTCACTGAAACGGGTGGTCAAGGTTGGAGTAGAGCCCTTCTGAAACATCCCAACCCCCAGCCCAGGAATTGATGGCCTTGCATCTCTTAGGGGCCGTGGTGATCCACACAGGACCCCTGGGACTGCCCCGCTGATACCCCTGTGCCCAGTCCCTCTGACCAGGACCGCTGTCAGCGTCGCTTTAGTGAAAATGCTGCTTTCCTCTTCGCTCCGATCTGCTCTTGTAGTTTTACCTGTGCAAAAAAAAAAAAAAAGCCAGAGCACTTCCACCTTCTGGCTCTCCTGGGATCTGATGCAAGTCCAGCCTGGGTCCCATTTCCAAATCTGGAGCTCTGGAAACTGGATCTTTTTTTAAAACCGTTTTTTGAGACATCATTGTTGTGTTAGACCTAATCTAAAACTCCAGCTTCTCCCCAAATCCGCCCCCCCCCCCCCCGAAGGTGCGTAACTATTATGTAGTGGAAAGAAAGCCAGGCTTAGGCAGGTAGTCCTGAAAATGAAATCTTACTTTGAAATGATGAATAGATGTGACTGACGTTTACATTTTTCTCTCTTAAAATGGAAATGTAGGAGAGTTAGTGATGTAAATGTGGCCAGAGTTATGCATGAACAACGTAGGAATCAGTAAATATTGAAGTTGAGAGCCACACTGCTGCCCTCTGTTCTCTTCCTACAGTTTAGCTTAAGTTTGCATTTGGAGGATAGAGCTTCTAGTTTTACTCTGTTGTTTAACTGTAAAAAGCCTCCATCTCCTTTTCATGGAGCATTGACAGCTTAAGACCACTATACCTCTGCTCTTTGATTTCTCTTGTCTGTGTAATTACTTTGCCAGGGAGTTGCCATGGTTGATAAATGCATTAGTCTTTTGAGTTTGGCTTGGATGGAGACAGGGTTTCACTGTGAGCATAGACCTTCAACCCCCCTCCAAGGCATTCATCACTACCCCTGGCCAAATGCTTGGGGTTTTTTGGGTTTCGTTCTTTTGCCATTGGCAGGGTTTGAACTCAGAGCCTTGTTCTTGCAGTCGACTGCTTTGCTTGTGCTTTACCACGTAAGCTGCACCTCCATCCTGGCTTTTGCTGTTTATTTTGGAGACAGAATGTTGTAGACTTTTCTGCCTGGGCTTGCTTTGAACTGTGATCCTTCAGGTCTCAGTCTCCTGAGTAGCCAGGTCTCAGCTCCTGAGTATAGGTGTGAGATACCAATCCCTCCTGGCTATGAATGGTTTTTTTTTTATAGGAAGTATTGGATAAATGCCTGCTACAGAACTTCTGGTCTTTACTCTCAGAGATAAGCCACAGCATTACACAGAGTAGACTCTAGAACCACACTGCCTGTGTTCATGTTTCTCTTCACATAGCATCGCAACAATGCTTTGGACAAATTCTCACCTGAAGTGGGGACAATACTGGCCCCTACTTCACAGTGTTGTTGGAAGGGTTTTTTTTTTGTTTTGGGTTTTTTTGGTTTTTTGTTTTTTTTTTTGTCGGTCGTGGGGCTTGAACTCTGGGCCTGGGTGCTGTCCCTCAGCTCTTCAGCTCAAGGCGAGCGCTCTACCACTTGAGCTACAGTGCCACTTCCGGTTTTCTGGTGATTTATTGGAGATAGGAGTCTCACGGTCTCTCCTGCCCGGGCTGGCTTTGAACCGAGATCCTCAGATCTCAGCCTCCTGAGTAGCTAGGATTACAGGCGTGAGCCACCAGCGCCCGGCTTGGAAGGATTTAATGAACTAGTACATGCTAAGCCTGAGAACAGTACTTGGCAATTGTAAATCTGTTAACATTTGACATATGGCTACTTTTGGCCTATGGTTTATAGTGGCCTCTTGGCCTCCTAGCAGGTTTTATGCTTGCTTATATCCTCTTGATCTGTACACAGAATATGCACTGATGACAGGAAATTAAGAGAAAAGGAAAATGAAGTTTTAGAGTCTACTTAAAGATCCTTTTTTTTTTTTAAGCACTCTGCCTAAATGTGTTTTTGTAAGTTTGAATGATGGTCATTTTATAAAGAAAGTATTTTCGAGTGTAATAAGCACAATAATCCTGTTATAAAAACTGTTAGCTACTTTGCAGACTTAAGAGACTGGGAATTAGGGAAGTCTGGTGTTCTTTAGTTTGGTGATGTTTCTGAGAACAGAATCTTGAGATGTTAGGACGTTTTGTCAGATATGGGAGACACCACTCAGGTGAAGAAGCATCATTATCTTCTATGATACTAGGAAAAAAAATTCCAGATCGAGGTGTGACACTCCATCAAGTATCAAGTAGAGCTATCAGTGAGAAGGAGGGTGCCCTAAAGTTAATGCAGTATGGTAACAACTCAGGTCTGTGAGCAGTTTTTGGAGTTTTAAATATTTGCAGAATTGTAAGTAGTGTGACAGTTAAGGGTACTGTTTTGTTTAGCATTTGACGAGTGTTAGCTTTTATATATTTGCTTACTCTTTATGGGAAGGTGCTTTATAGTGAGGGCTTCATACATCTCAAGAATATTTGTTTTTGAAGGTTTTAGAAGATGGCGAAGTTCATGACACCTGTGATCCAGGATAACCCCTCAGGCTGGGGTCCCTGCGCGGTTCCTGAGCAGTTTCGGGATATGCCCTACCAGCCCTTCAGCAAAGGAGACCGGCTAGGAAAGGTACTTGCTTGTCAGCAAGAATCTGGCTATCTCTGGAATCTGCAGGTCTCCAGGAGACACTGTTTGAATTTTAGTCTCAACAGTGTGACCTCCAATCCTAGGGCTGGGAATGTGAAGTCCTGGGTTTGATTCCTCAGCACCACATAAACAGAAAAAGCCAGAAGTGGTGCTGTGGCTCAAGTGGTAGAGCACTAGCCTTGAGCAGAAGAAGCTCAGGGACAGTACCTAGGCCCTAAGTTCAAGCCCCAAGGATGTGGGGGAAAAAGTGAGCCTGTAAAAGTATTCCCTGTTGGTCCAAATGGATCAAAGACCTCGAGGTAAAAGCAGAGACCCTGAAAATATTACAGGAAGGGATAGGCGATATGCTAGGGCTCCTTGGTACCAGGTCCAAATTGCCTAAAGATCCAGAAACACAACAAATCAAAGAAAGTCTGGATAAATGGGATTACGTTAAAGCTTCTGCACGGCAAAGGACATAGCTAGCAAGATATATAGAAAGCCTACAGATTGGGATATCTTCACTAGCTGGACAACAGACAAGGATCTCATACCAAAAATATACTTAGAGCTTGAAAAATTAACACACACACCCCCAATAACAAATCCCCAGAGAAACAGCCACCCCATTAAAGAGAATTTTCTGGAGAAGAATAAGAATGGCCAATAGACACATGAAGAAATGCTCAGCATCGCTGGCCATAAAAGAAATGCGAATCAAAACCACTGTTGTTGGAACACCAACAGTGTAGTAGTGTTCAACCTCTGGAAGGCAGTATGGAGGTTCCTCAAAAGACTGAACATAGAACTCCCCTATGATCCAGTAATCCCACTCCTGGACATATATCCAGATGACCTCAAACTAGGCCACACTAAAGCTACCAGCACAACAACTATGTTTGCAGCATTATTTACCATAGCTAAGATATGGAACCAACTCCAATGCCCCTCAGATGAATGGATCAAGAAAATGTAGGAAATTTACACAATGGAATTTTATGCGTCTATCAGAAAGAATGACATCACCCCTTTCATAAGGAAATGGAAAGACTTGGAAAAAATCGTATTAAGTGAAGTAAGCCAGTCCCAAAGAAACATAAGCTCTATGGTTTCCCTCATTTGCAGTGATTAATATAAGCCTAAGTTAGACCTGACAGGGAATCATAATAGCTCGAGAGCTATGAACATAGGACCATACAACATGTTGCTAATTGAAATGAACTCCAAGACATGGAAACAATTGGTGTTTTTCTTTTTTTTTTAAGTTGTCAACCTTGATGTTGCCTATGTACTATATCTAATTCTTCTTACTTCATTTTTCTTTTTCCATTGGTTTATCCCTCCCTGGCAATCTCTGGCTTTCATTCTGGTACCCTCCATCTTGTATATGCATTTATCTGATTGGGGGAAGAGAGGGGAAATAACAAAATGCTGAAAGAATTACAAAAGATGGCCCAGTGCAACAATGATACTCACAGGATACTATGTCAGAAATGAACTTTACAACTTCATGGAGTGGGGGAAGGAAGGGATAGTGGGAGAACAACAATGGAGTGGATAATAATGTTCAATGAGAGAGGTGCCTTACTCATGTAAATGTAACCCCTCTGTACAGCATCTTTACAATAAAATTAAATTTAAAAAAATATTCTGTGTTGGGGTTGCAGCTAAGTTAGAGCATGACCTCTGGAAGTTGTCCCAGAATGGCATTACAACCTTCCATCATTTTCCACACATCACTTGCTGACATTTCTGGGTCTACAGAAACTAGCCTAGTTGATCAGTGCATTCTCTTTATTGCTCTTAACAGGTTGCAGACTGGACAGGTGCCACATACCAAGATAAGAGGTACACAAGTAAGTAGTCAGTGGGGCTGCCCAAATCTAGGTCTGGAGAATTATCATTAGTTTGAATACCAGGAAGGAAAGAAATGCTAATAATAACTGATAGTTTGGTCAGGCATGATGGCATATGCCTATAATCCCTTGGGAGACCAAGGCATGTATATTAGGAGTTCCAGACAAAACTGGCTACGTAGGAAAAATCCTGTCTTGGACAGATGTGTCTTGATCTGTGAACACTAACAAAATTTTAAAAATACCTCATGAGAGTTTTCCCCCCTTTGGCCACAGACCCCCTTTAAGAAAGCTTTTAAGCCAGGTACTGGTTGGTAGCTCATTCCTGTAATCCAAGCTACTCAGGAGGTTGAGATCTAAGGATTGAGGTTCAAAGACGCCTTACTCTGAAAAGTTCATGAAACTCTTATCTCCAGTTAGTTAATGAAAAGCTAGAAGTGAAGCTGTGTCTCAAATGGTAGAGCACTAGCCTGAGGCAAAAGACATCAGGGACAGTGCCCAGGCTCTGAATTCAAGTCCCAGGACCAGCACCAAAAAAAGCCTGTTGAACACATTGCCACTTTGCATTTTACTATTTGGGACATTCTGAATCTGGAGCCAATCAATGAATTGCAGGCTTAAAAGTCCTGGTAAAGTAAAGAGGTTTATCTTGGTGACAGTTGAAGCACTTAGAAGTACTGGCTGGAATTGTAAATAAGATATCTGAGTTCTGATCAGCAAGTGAGTTTATCTTGGCCCATGAGACATGTCTTCCTTGGGAACTAGATGAGGCAGTAGTGGTATGCATGCCCCCTGCCTGCTTCCCCAGTTTCAGTAAATCTCAGCTCAGATGCTGAGATGGTACGGCTGGCAGAGAGTGAAGTGGGCTAGCTGCAGTTCCTCACATTCCTTGGGAAATTCTTTTCAAACTTGAATGTGCCGGGGGATCCTGTTTAATGTTGGCCCAGTTGAGTAGGTCTGGGCTGAGACAGGAACTTGTAGACAGTTGCTGGATGATTGTCACTGTCACCTTGGCCTCCAGATAAGTACTCCTCTCAGTTTGGCGGTGGAAGTCAGTATGCTTATTTCCATGAGGAGGATGAAACTAGCTTCCAGCTGGTGGATACAGCACGCATGCAGAAGACGGCCTACCAGCGGAACCGGATGAGGTTTGCACAGGTAGGCAGAAGCCAGCAACCTGGCCAGCTTGGGACTGCTATGGGTCACCAGCTGCCAGAGTATTTCTTAGGAGTGCTAAATAAAAAGTATGGCACAGTTTGGTGGAAACCAAGTGACAGTCTAGTGACAAATTGTATCACATTGAAATTGAGTAGTTTTTGTTTTTTTACAGACTGCCACCAGTGACTTCAGTGTTTTCAATGAAAGGAAACTTGCTAAATATATTATAGTTTCCTATCAGCATTGACCATGATTTATCTGGGGACCTGTCTTTTACATTTTAGTTTTGGTTTTATATTTCAACCCTTGAAGAGAATATGTGTTTGACCTTACCGTTTTATTAATGTTCAACTCTATAGCCTACGCAGAGTTTGGTGTCCTTCTCACCTCTCCCTCCTTTTTGTGTCCTGGGGCTTGAACTCAGGTCTGGATACTGTCTCTGATTTCCCAGTCACTTGGAAATATACTTCTGTGCTAGGAAGGGATACTTGCACTGGGTAGAAAAGTACATTGCACCCACTGACTCACTTAATTGCTACATGCAGACTTTATTAAGTAGACGATCCAGTTTGTCTGCGTCTTTGGGGCAAAAATAGAACTCAAATACGACCCATAAACCCACTTGAGTGGAACTGCATTGTGGGAATGTGAGTTCCAGGCAATTCCAGCTCTACCGTGCTTACCCCACAGACTGCTGGTACTGTAAAGGCACAGTACAGTGTGAAATGGTTTTACACCCTAAACTTTTAAAGATCTCCCGTTAATAGCCTATTAACAGCCTTTGTGTCTTCCTGATTTATAGCGGAACCTCCGCAGAGACAAAGATCGGCGGAACATGTTGCAATTCAATCTTCAGACATTGCCTAAGAGTGCCAAGCAGAAAGAGAGGTGAGGTTCCACACGTACACACTCCAGCCCTTCCAGAACAAAGTGTCCTTCCCAAACTGGCCATTCCCAGATAGCACAGGGCCCAAGCAAGCGGATAGCTTCTTCCCCCTTACTGCATAAAAAAGCAATTTCCAACAGCCAGCTGCCACCTTGAAGCCTGTTCTCCAGTGTCAGTTCATAGCAGGTAGCATGTGCAGGAAGTGGCTTGTGGTGGACTTGCATGCTGAGGGGAGTGAAGCCCGTGAGATGAATGACTCAGCTTGCCGCGGCTTCGTCCTGCATCCTCAGCATCCTGAGCTGTTGAGAACCTCAGCCATCACACCCCTGGCCGAGGCCTCCACAGGTGGCCACTGAAGGCTGAGTGCTGTATTTGGTCAGTGTTGGGGGACAGTGTGCCTCTGCTCGCGTCCCCAGTTAATGCCCATTTGGTCTTCCTTTCTGGAAGCCCTGTTTTCCGTAGTCCAGAGAAGAGCAGCTCTGTCTTCTGAAGCTCCGACTTGGGGCTTTGCACCAAGATCACAGTATTTGTCTTTACAGAGAACGCATTCGACTGCAGAAAAAGTTCCAGAAGCAATTTGGAGTGAGGCAAAAATGGGACCAAAAATCACAGGTAATGTATGCATACCAAAATTCTGAATCATGTGCTTTAACATTCACCTCCTATTCTCCCCAGCCCTCAGCCGCTACTGGTCTACTTTGTCTCCTAATCTGAACATTTCACATTGGTGGAATTATGTGACCTGTGATCTAATGTCATGGGACTGGTTTTTTCTTTCTTTCTTTTTTTTGCCAGTCCTGAGACTTGAACTCAGGGCCTGGGCTGTTCCCTGAGCCTCTCTGTGGTCAAGGCTAACCTTCTACCTCTTGAGCAATAGTGCCATTTCCAGCTTTTTCTGAGTAGTTTATTGGAGATAAGAGTTTGATTAACTTTCCTGCCCAGGCTGGCTTCAAACCATGATCCTGAGATCTCAGCCTCCTGTATGGTTTTTGTTTTTGTGCCCATCCTGGAGCTTGAACTCAGGGCCTGGGTGCTGTTCTTGACCTTTTTTGCTCAAGGCTAGCACTCTACCACTTGAGCCACAGGTTTACTTCCAGATTAGACATAAGAATCTCAGAGGCTTTTTTGCTTCTGGGTCTGGCTTTAAATTGTAATCCTCTGCTCTCAACTTTGAGTAGCCAAGATTACAGGTATGAGCCATCAGCACCCAGCTCATATGATCTTCCTTGATATTCAGAGAATTGATCCCAAGATCTCCTAAGAATACCAAAATTTACAAGTGCTTATCTTGTCTTATGTATGATTATGTAGTTTATGTAGAACCTGCACTTCCTTTCCACACATTTCTTAAATCTTCTCTTGATTTAACCAAATGCTTAGAACCATAATATTTCCAATTTTGAAACAGACTGCTAGTTAAGTACCATGGTCCAAAGTAAGAAACTGAGCTTCCTGTCAGCACTTAGCATCAGGTTTGGAGCTTTTTAGGGTGGAGATTTTTGAGTAGGGATGTTCAACCTATGATGTCTAATACAATGTAATATTAATATTAACAGGATTGGGGGCGGGCGGGGGAGTTGTGGGGCTTGAGTTCAGGTCCTGAGTGCTGTCCCTGAGCTCTTTTGCTCAAAGCTAGCATTCTACCACATTGAGCCACAGCTCCACTTCTGGTTAATTGGAGATAAGAGGACTTTTCTACCTGAGCTAACTTGAACTGCAATCCTCAGAGCCCAACCTCTTGAGTAGCTAGGATTATAGGCATGAGCCACCAGCACACAGGACCTGAGTACTATCCCTCAGCTTTTTTGCTCAAGGTTGACACTCTACCACTTGTGCCATACCTCCACTTCCAGCTTTTTTTATTGGTTAATTGGAAGTAAGAGTCTCTTGGGTTTGTCTGCTTATATTGGCTTTTAACTATGATCCTCAGTTTTCAGTTTCTTGAATAGCTCTAATTATAGGTTTGAGCCACTGGCACCAAGTTCTTTACCCAAGCTGGTCTTGAGTACTTGGGCTCAAAGGATCCTCCTTTCTCAGCTTCCCCAGTAGTTAGAGATACAGGCACGCCTGGTACCCTGAAATATTTTCAGTCTATACTTAATTGAATCTTCAGGTGTAGGACCTGTAACTATGAGCCTACAGAGAGCCATCTGTACTTTATTCCTTTTTTAGAACCAAATAACCTTGTAAAGATACACCATGTTTTGTCTAGCCATTAACCAGTTGGTGGGCAACGTGGTTATTTCCACCTTGGGGGTGTTTGGAATAATGCTGCCATGTTTGTGTGGATGCTGAGAATAGTAGACACATATAAACACAAATGAAGTTAGAGTTGTAGAAATTACACTTTGCTGGATGTGATATTTACTATGTCAAAATAGTTGTCAGAGATGGACCTGGTGGCTCACATTTGTAATTCTAGATATTCAGGAAGCTGAGATCTGAGGATCACAGTTCAAAGCCAGCCCAAACAGGAAAGTCCATGAAACTTATACCTCCAATTAACCACCACAAAACCAGAAGTGGAGCTGTGGCTCACAGTGGTAAAACGCTAGTCTTGAACGAAAGAGCCCAGGGACAGTACCCAGGCCCGGAGTTTAAGCCCTATGACTGACAAAAAGAAAAAGAAAAAATTGTCAGGGGTACTAGCTAAGGCAGGAGGACTGTGAGCTCAGAGCCAGCCTGGACTACATAGTGAGATTCTATCTCAAAGTGTGTGGGGGTGGGGGACATAGTTAATACTTTGAAAACATTATCAAGGAATTGCTCCATGTTCCCTGGGTGACATCATTACCCATGGTTGAATTCCTATTTCCCAAGGTCCTTCTAGATTATCAGCTTTTAGGAACCAAGGTTCTGTCTTCTAAAACAGCCAGCACCATATTTATCAAAGAAAACCCTCTCATAATGCTAACTTGTTTTTTACTTGGATTTGCATGGACTGTAATTTTTCTCCTCCAATGGTTTTCCACTGTAGAAACCCCGAGACTCTTCAGTTGAGGTCCGTAGTGACTGGGAGGTGAAAGAGGAAATGGATTTTCCTCAGCTGATGAAAATGCGCTACTTGGAAGTTTCTGAGCCGCAGGATATGTGAGTAGCTCCTTTCGCCGCTTTCCTTAAGTCCAGGGATTCCAGAAAGGCCTTGAAACCACTTACTCAGAAGACACGGATAAGATCACAGAAAATTTCAAGCAGTCAAAAAACAGCATAAAAAGCAGAAGTTTTCTAGTACTAAACTTCAGATTGCTTACAATTTCCTGGCCTCCTTTGCAAAGGAGAAATAAAATTAAGTTATCTAGCTCTTTGCAGAGAGAGAAAAGGAACAAAGCTGAAAGAAAAGCTGAAAAATGTCTTTCAGTTCCTGCCTCCTGACAGAAATGCAGTGAGATGGCCTTATTAAAGCTCTTTGGGCAGGGCTATGGCAGTCAGGAGCCTGGGTCTGACAGCTCTAAGAGCCTCTTGCCTCAAAGGGCAGGGGAATGGAGCTATTTCAGCAGGGGGCTCAGAGCACCACTTCAACAACCTGCCTGCCTGTATACCCCTGCAACTGAACACTAGTTACTAGTTATCCTGACTTAAAGTGGAGGGATTGGGCTGGGTGTGATGCGTGCACTGTGTTCTACAAGAACAGAGCTGAGCCAGCTCTCTGGGCTCCCTGAGGGTTCTGCTCCTGTTCCAGTGAGAGGCTCCAGTGCCTTATGTGTTAAATGGCTTGAAAGGAAAGGGGCTCATGTTCCTGTTTATTTGCATCTCTTGCCTGTTCTTGCAGTGAGTGTTGTGGGGCCTTGGAATACTATGACAAAGCCTTTGACCGCGTCACCACAAGGAGCGAGAAGCCCCTGCGGAGCATCAAGCGCATCTTCCACACCGTCACCACCACTGACGACCCTGTCATCCGGAAGGTTTGTGGCCTGCTTCTGCAGCCCAGCCCTTACAGAGCAGGGAATTATGTGGGCAGCCCTTAGTACTCTGGGGGATTGGTTCCAGAAAATACCCCTGTGGATACCAGAATCTGGGTGTTGAAGTCCCTTATATAAAATAGCCCAGAGTTTGCATTGTAACCCAAGCACTGACTACACTTTAGTCATCTCTAGATGACCGTAATACCTCAGACATTCTTGTATGGCAGTGTACATTCAGTACAGATATTTTTTCTTCTCTGAGGATTTAGTTGAATCCTTTATATAGAGTACACAAGTCCACAGGGATCACTGCACACGTGTGGGCCTCCAATGAGATCCTTCTGTGCCACACTTAAGTGTTGGGTGAGTGAACAGGCACTGCACTGGGTAACCCTAGAGTGCTGGTGTTAAGCAGAGCAGACCTAGATCCCAGCTCTGCTGTGCTGACTGGCTTCATTGCTCCAGGGCTTTAGTTTTCTCATCCATAAGAGGACAAATGTATTTATTGCCTGCCTTTGAAGTGAGTAGTCAGGTGTCACGAAGCTTCTGGAGGAACCTAGTATGTGTTTTGTGTGGGTGACAGCACAGTGACATCACAGTTCCCACCCCATGAAGGGTTGCTGCACCTCAGCGTCCTCAGCGCTTTCTGTCGTTTTCCTTGCAGCTGGCCAAAACCCAGGGCAATGTGTTCGCCACTGATGCCATCCTGGCCACGCTGATGAGCTGCACCCGCTCTGTGTATTCTTGGGACATCGTCGTCCAGAGAGTCGGGTCCAAGCTCTTCTTTGACAAGAGGGACAACTCTGATTTTGGTGAGAGGGCTTGTCTGGGGAACAGCTCTGGGACCTTGGGACTTGTGTGGGCTCAGAAGGAGTCCCTAGTCCTTGGGAATGGGTAGAAAATGGTCTGCTTTCCTCTGGGGCATTAGCAGTGTGTCCACAGGCCTTCCTGCCTCCTGCAGCTCCGGCCTTCTGAGCCCTCACAGCAGCCGCTCCTGGCCATGAATATGCTCGCTTGACCTGCCCTTTCCCTCCCGTTCTCACATGTGCAGAATTCCTTCCATGGGTTCCTTTCAGTCCCTGCATGCGCACACCATAGATGTATCTGGGTCACACTCAAAAAAAATGACAGCTTCAAAACAAAGCAGTAGAATCCTGTCCTGAGCATGAAGCCACTCCTGTAAGGGCCACACATTCTCTCGAGGGATCCACAAAGATGGAAAGGGGACAGCTTTTTCCTAGTGAGTGGATTAGTTATCGTCATCTGAAGGCACCTGCTCTCCCCTGTGAGCCCCACATGTGGAAACCACGCTAGGAGAAGGCAGCTCCCCACCAACTGTGCACATTGGCATGATTCTGGATTATGTGGGTGAATGACTGTGCCATTTTCTACAGACCTCCTGACCGTGAGTGAGACAGCCAACGAGCCCCCTCAAGATGAAGGTAATTCCTTCAACTCGCCCCGCAACCTGGCCATGGAGGCCACCTACATCAATCACAACTTCTCCCAGCAGTGCTTGAGAATGGTGAGTGCATGGCTGCACGCGAGCACTGACAGTGCTTGCCACAAGGCTCTGGGCTTGGGTTCACTGGGGCTGGCACAGCCCGCCTGTAGCAGAGGTCAGGAGCTGGCTCAGCGGTCAGACTGCCTGGTGTTGAACCGCAGGTCCACCGAGGAGGTGTGTGGTCGCATGCCTCTTTCCTTCCTGAAATAGTACAGGGTTTGTTTTGGGTACCTCTCTTGGGGCTTTGAACTTAGGCTGTAGACACTGCCCCTGAGCTTTTTTACTCAAGACTGATGCTCTACCACTTAAGCCACAGTTCCAATTCTGGATTTTTTTGGTGCTGAAAATAAAAGTGTCAGACTTTCCAGCCTGGGCTGGCTTCAAACTGAAAGCTTCAGATCCAAGCCTCCTGAGTAGGATTACTGGCTTACCAAGTTGCTGTTTTGACAGATTGTTAAGATTCCCTCAGTTGCTTAGCAAGTGCCTTATTGTGTATAGCTACATCTCTGTATGTCCTAGGAATGGATTTTCACCATTCTGTAGAATGGATATTATATGCATAACTGTGTCAGTGACAGGGACAGGCATAGTTGCTAATGCATTGTCTGGGTCTCTTGGAGGTTGGCAGGCAGGAGAGGGAGAAGAACATGAAGCCCAGCGAGCTCAGAGCCTTGAAGGGCTGCAAGGAGCAGTGCTGGGTCTGGCTGATTGGGTTGGGAACAAGAATGAGCACCATCTCATGACAGCTTTGCCATTTTGCAGGGGAAGGAAAGATACAACTTCCCCAACCCAAACCCATTTGTGGAGGATGACATGGATAAGAATGAGATTGCCTCTGTTGCCTATCGGTATGTATGTCTGCCTTCTGTGGGGGTATGGCAGAAGAAGCCAGAGCCTCTACTGGGAGGGAGAATCCCCTGAAGTGAGGGTCTCTGTGACCAGCGAGTTTCTCCTTTGCTGCAGTTACCGCAGGTGGAAACTTGGAGACGACATTGACCTCATTGTCCGCTGTGAGCACGATGGCGTCATGACTGGGGCAAATGGGGAAGTATCCTTCATCAACATCAAGACTCTGAACGAGTGGGACTCCAGGGTGAGGCACCACTCTGCACTTAGCTACCTCGGGTAGTCCTGGGCCTTTGTTCCTCTGCCTAACCTTCGGTGACTGGGAGCAGAGCACCCCTAAGTTGAGAGCTGTTCCCCTTGTTTTGCATATAGGCAGCCAAATTCCCCTTCCTTGGTGCTTTCTTCCTCTCCATTCCTTCCTAGCCTGTTTCTGCCTTCCACCTGCAATTTGTCTGGTTTTGACCTCTTCATTATCTGTTGCCCATTCTGAATAATGGCCTCTGTCTTTGTGACTTCTTTATTATTTCCTACTGAACTACAGGATCTGAACTGCAGATGTAACTCAGAATCAACTCTTAAATGCCTTAAAAGCAATAGGCGCCGGGTGCTGGTGGCTCACGCCTGTAATCCTAGCTACTCAGGAGACTGAGATCTGAGGATCGAGGTTCAAAGCTAGCCTGGGTAGGAAAGATTGTGAGACTCCTATCTCCAATAAACAACCAGAAAACTGGAAGTGGCGCTGTAGCTTAAGTGGTAGAGCTCTCACCTTGAGCTGAAGGGCTGAGAGACGGTGCCCAGGCCCAGAGTTCAAGCCCCACGACCAACTTAAAAAAGAAAAAGCAAAAGCAACAGCCTTCCTCTGCTTCTCCTTCCATACTCCCTCCTGCCAGTGCTCATGGCTGTGGAACTCTGGTTCTTCCTCCAGCTACACTGGCCAGTATCCCTCGTTAGAGAGGGCAGCAGTGCTCAGTTGCCATTATACAGAGCAAAGGATCCTGGTATCCCCTGTGAGGATCCGTCCCCACGCAGCTCTGCCCTAAGGAGTTCATGCAGCTTTGCATAACAGTAACAGAAATCTCCATTTGGCTGTGGAGCATGGCTTAAATGGAAGGCCCTAATTTCAATCCCTAATACCCATCACCACTTTAAAACTCTCAGCTCTGAAGGGCAGAAGTCTAGTATGTGGCTTGGTTCTGTGTCAAGGGTGTCACAAGGCTGAGATCCAAGAGATCTCATCTGCGCACTCTGGAAGAAAGTGTACTTGGGCTCGTTGCAGTGGTTGACGGAGGTCCTGTCCTTGCCCTTGTAATTGACAGCACTGTAGCTTACTACTGTCCCTTGCTTGTTGGGACATCTTTCTCCACTCCATTTCCCTTTGTCTCTGCCATTTTTGGGGGGATTCCGGTTGTGGGGCCTGAACTCTGGGCCTGGGCGCTGTCCCTCAGCTCTTCAGCTCAAGGCTAGCACTCTACCACTTGAGCCACAGCGCTACTTCCGGCTTTCTTCTTTTTTTGCTTATGTGGTGCTGAGGAATCGAACCCAGGGCCTCGAGCATGCAAGGCAAGCGCTCTACCACTGAGCCACCTTCCCAGCCCTGTCTCTGCCAATTTTGCTGTTACTTATTTTCATTTTGGTATCATGATTTGAACTCAGGGCCTAAGTACTCTCAGATTTCTTGCTCACAGTGGGTGCTCTACCACTTGAACCACACTTCCATTTCCTAAACTGTGTGGTGTGTGTTTGTGTGTGTACACACACATGTATGCATGCATGCATGTGTATACCAGCACTAGGGCTTAATCTCAGGTCCTGCTTACTGTCCCTTAGCTTTTTTTGTTGAAGGCTGGCACTCTACAACTTGAGTCACACCTCTACTTCTAGCATTTTTCTGGGTAATTGGAGATTAGAATCTCTTGGACTTCCGTACCAGAGCTGACTTTATCTTTGTTGCTCAGCCTCCTGAATAGGATTACCACCAGTATTCAGTTCCTAAACTCTTCATAAAAAGAACTCCAGTATTTTGCAGTGAAACAGGACAGTCTTGGTGCTCTGCTTCCCACATCTGTAAATGACATAGATGGAGATGTCTGGGGAAGTGGCAGGCTCTGAGACTGGCCTGTCCTGTCCTTCCCTCTGTCTATCAGACCAAGACCACCATCTCCCATCTGTAGTCTACCAGTGGTCTCCACTTAGCCAAGTGTGCCTGACATGTGTGAAGCCCTTTCTGCCTAACATGAACTTTCCTCTGCTGTTCATGTGGCAGGCACTGTGCCCATCTGTCTTGTCCCCACTCTTAGAGGAAAGGAATTGCTCTCTCCTGAGTGCCCTGCTGGGCACAGGGAGAGGCCATCCTGTCTCCAGAGGCACTCTCCAGGCCTTGGCACTCATAACCAGCTTTCCCTCCTACAGCACTGCAATGGTGTGGACTGGCGGCAGAAGCTGGACTCGCAGCGCGGGGCTGTCATTGCCACTGAGCTGAAGAACAACAGCTACAAGCTGGCCCGGTGGACCTGCTGTGCTCTGCTGGCTGGATCCGAGTACCTCAAGCTGGGGTGAGAGCCTTGGCCAGGAGCTGGGGGGCTGGCTAGGGAGGCAGGGTAGGAGGAAGTCTGGGGATAACAGCAGAGATGTCAGATGTCACCACATAGCCGCCATGCACCCCTAAGTGGTGCCATCTCTGTGGCCCTGCTCCAGCACTGACCTCCCCTCCCTCTCAGTTACGTGTCTCGGTACCATGTGAAGGACTCCTCGCGTCACGTCATCCTGGGCACCCAGCAGTTCAAGCCCAATGAGTTCGCCAGCCAGATCAACCTGAGCGTGGAGAACGCCTGGGGCATCCTGCGCTGTGTCATCGACATCTGCATGAAGCTGGAGGAGGGCAAGTACCTCATCCTCAAGGACCCCAACAAGCAGGTCATCCGTGTCTACAGCCTGCCCGATGGCACCTTCAGCTCAGATGAAGACGATGAGGAGGAGGAGGAGGAAGAAGAGGAAGAGGAAGGTGTGTGACTCCCTTCCCTCCTCCCCCCCTCAATCTAGCATGAGCTGGGGGCTGGCAGGGGAGCTTTATCCTGACAAAATTTGATGAGGTGTTCTCTGGGACTTAAGTCTGGAGTAGCTTTCACTCAGCTCCTGGAGCCTCCTCCAGAGCTTTAGAGCTCAGAAGGGTGGGAAAGAGAACAGCCTGTAGAGACTGCTCCCTGTGGGAGTGGGGTTCTAGAGGAAGGAAGGTCAACCTGACTACCGCAGTCTTACCAGCTGGTGGTTTTACGGTCGGAGGGATCGGCTGGGGAGCACCCAGAGGCGCATCTGCTGAGTAGAGGCATTGATTGAGAACCCCTGCAGTTCAGACCCGGCAAGGAAAGGGACATCCGATCATCCAGCATGGCTTATTTCTCTCCCTATTTTGTATCTTTCAGAGGAAGAAACTTAGAGGAGACGGTGAGCAAGCTGGAGTTGATCATGCTACCGAGCCTAGGGGGCCTTGGCCTCATCAAATGTCTGCCTGGCTCCTGTCCTCTGGCATGTGGCCGATGGAATAAAATTAAGTCTGTTGAGTCTCTTCATCGCGTGCCTCCTTTCAGGCATGATTTACAGCTCCATCTTGGCTCAGCAGCTTGCATCTGGAGTTTCCAGGCTGGGCCCCTCGCGCTCTTGAGCATTGTTAGATTTGCAGTCCTATTCAAGTTTCATTTCTGAAACCCCCTGTAATGATTCTGTTGTGGGTAGTGTCAAGTTGTTTTTTGTTGTGTGTGGTTTTGTTGTTTTTTTTTCCAGTCCTGGGGCTTGAACACAGCCTGGGCACTGTCTTTGAGCTTCTTTTGCTCAAGACTAGCATTCTACCCCTTGAGCCACAGCACCACTTCCGGCTTTTTTTGTTATGTGGTACTGAGGAATCAAACCCAGGGCTCCGTGCATGCTAGGCAAGCGCTCTACTACTAAACCATATTCCCAGCCCAGTAGTGTCAAGTTTGAAGTAACTTACAGAGGTCCCCACAAGGAATCCACTTGCACAAGCACAAAGGTGCCTCAAGACCTGGCTGTTTCCTGGGGGGGTGTTCACTATGAGAAACACAGGCACAAGTCTCAGAAAATCAGCTACTCAGAAGATGGATTTTGCAGATGAGGTTCAAAGCCAGCCAAGGCAGAAAAGCCCATGAAACACTATCTCCAATTGAACAGCAAAATGGCAGTCTTCTGGTTCAAGTGGGAGGGTGCCAGCCAAGTAAGAGCTTGAGGAACTGAGTTTAAGGCCTGGTGCTGACATAGAAATGAAATAGGAAAGGCAGGTGCAAACCCAGGAGGCTGAGATCTAAGGATCTCCAATTAACCACGAGAAAACCAGAAGTGTAACTAGCTCAAAATGGTAGGCATAAACCTAGAGCAAAGAGCACAGGAACAGTGCCCAGGCCCTGAATTCAAGCCCCATGGTTGGCGGGGGGGGGGGGGGGGGGGGGGGGGGGGGGGCTGATTGTGGTTATCTAATCCCAATTAGGACCAGAAGGTTGTGGTTTAAAACCAACTCAGGCAAAAAGTGTTGGGGCATAGTTCACATGGTGGAGAACCTACCTAGCAAATGCAAGGCTCTGAATTCAAGCCCCAGTACTGGAACAAAAAGGCTTGAAGCTGGACCCTGTATTTCACTCCTGTAATCCTAGCTACTCGGGAGGCTGAGAGATGAGTATCACGGTTCAAAGCCAGCCAGGAAAGTCTGTGAGGCCTACCTCCAATTAACCGCCAAAAATCAGAAGTGGTGCCATGGCTCAAAGTCAGAGTTGCTAGCTTCGAGCAAAAGAGCTCAGGGACAACATCCAGACCCTGAGTTCAAGCCCTACCACCAACAAAACAAAAAGGCATGGATGGGGATTACTGTCCTTGAAGCCACTTCAGAAGGGTTTGGTGTATGTTCATCAGGGAGGTGTTTGTAATGGTTTGTTTTTAAGCTTGGATTGAGCTGGTGACAAAGTCCCAAACCACCCCCTCAACAAAGCAAGGTGTCACAGCTGTGCTGTTGTGGACACTGGATCAATCCCCTGCCACATAAATCATTAAGCTTCCTGAGCCTTCTACAAATTATTGCCAGTGTATAGTCAACAGACTCAGCTATGCGATTGAGTTCCTAGTCATTTAAATAAGCCGCAGAGCAAGCAAAAGTTTACTGAACTTTGTTGTCAGGGTATTAAGATTGAGCAAAAAGGTGCTTAATGAGTTTTCAATGTGGAGCACAAAACCTAGACCTTTAAATGTGAAGTGCCATTTGGGGCCAGAATCCAAATCACTTCTTGCCAGTCAGGCCAACAGCATTAGCTGAAGCAAGCAAGTAGAAATTACTGTTTAACATGCTTTCTCTACTTTGTTGTGTGAAAACTACTCAAATCCTTAGCAACATTCACCTGCAGCCTAGTTTGAGGGCCTGGCCACCTGTTTCCCATGTTATCCTGTAAGATCAGCAACTGTTTTAGCTTCTTCCCAGCAACCAGTCTGTCACAACCACTGAGAAAAGCATTTTGACCTTCCTTTTGGGTAAGCATTTTGCGGGGTCTGACTGGCTCCAAACAAGTGCTCGCTGCTGCTGTGTGCCAGATTCCAGAGGAAGCAGTGAGTGGCTTCGTTTCTGCTCCCGTGGGGCTTTCCCGAGGTTGACACTCAGGAAGACTGACATCTAGCATTGGGTACTTTTGACCTAAGAGGTAAAGAAGGCTTTTTCTACAGAGGGAAGCCTCCAGCCATGGAAAGGCTGGCGCCCCGGGGAGTCTGGTCTCTCCAGGCTGCCTCCTTTGAGTATGCGGTGCCCTTCGAAGGTGAGATCTTCCCTCGCACAGGGGCCGCCTGCCACCCTGGGGAGGCACCTCCTGATCATGGCAGTCACATGCCGTGGGTTTCGATGCCAGCGATCTTCGGCACGCGGCATCACCCCCGAGGCGGACACCGCATCCTCGGCCGCCTCACCTGGCGGCGGTGGTCGAGTTGGCGCTCCCCGGCGCTCACTCAGCACACAGCACCGAGTCTCGGCGGCCAGCGCCGGCTAAGGGATCGGTCCCGGCCCCGGTTCCAGCTCCGCCGACCGGCTGTGCTGAGTCCGGCTCCGGCCGCATAGTTGGGAGAAGACACAAACTGGAATCCTCCCGAGATCCGCTCGTCCCCACGCACGTGGAGAGCCGGCTCTGCCTCAGCCGCTCCCGCCCCGCCGGGGCGCCGGGCTCCCGGGCTCCAGGCCTGCAAACTTCTAGATGCCGTGCGCGCCACCGGCCCAGCGTGCCGCGCGCGCCACGCACGTGATTCCGCCCCCTGCTATTGGCCGGGGGGAGGGGCGGGGAGCCGCGCCGCGCCGCGGGATCCCCACAGGCCTCGCTCACGACAGCCTTCGGTCCGGTCAACCCCGAGGTCTGAGCGACGCCGGGCTGTACTCTGGCTGCGTGAAGGGACCGGCAGCCTGGGCACTGCGCACACGCAGACCGCTGCTTCCGGAAGCGCGCGGTTGCGGCAGGTGTGCGGGGCATCCCTCTCACGTGATCCACTGGAGGGGCGGGGCTCTGCGTGGCACGCCCCCTCCTGGCTCCGGCCCGAGGGTGGGGGCGCGGCCGGGGAGGTTAGTGCCTTCGGCGCGGCCGGCAGCTCCACCTGGGAAGCGGCTCCTGTCCTTCCCCGGGTCGCGATTGCCGTGGCATCCAGGGGGCTGTTCCCCCACGGGAAAGGAGCCCCCGAGGATGAGATGTAGGGGTTCCGAACGCCTGCGCGCCCCAGATGCCGTCCCGAAAAGACAGAGTCGGGGCCGATGAGCTGCCCCGTGCCGGGGTTCCAGCCCTGGTTCTGCCCGCGGAGCTGTGAGGCCCGCGCGCCGCGCCTCCCCCGCGCCGCGCTCCCTCGCACCTCCCGAGGCGCGCGGCGTCCCCCCGGGCCCTCGGCATGGCCGGCGAGACGCGCCTCGCCGCCGCGGCCGCGCTCTGGGCGCCCCTGGGGCTGCTCCTGACGCTGGCCCCGCACCCGGCCCGGGGCGCCCGTCCGCACCGGGACTACTGCGTGCTGGGCGCGGGGCCCGCGGGCCTGCAGATGGCCTCCTTCCTGCAGCGCGCCGGCAGGGACTACGCCGTGTTCGAGCGGGCGCCCGCGCCCGGCAGCTTCTTCACGCGCTACCCGCGGCACCGCAAGCTCATCAGCATCAACAAGCGCTTCACCGGCAAGGCCAACGCCGAGTTCAACCTCCGCCACGACTGGAACTCCCTGCTCAGCCACGACCCCCGGCTGCTCTTCAGACACTACTCGCGGGCCTACTTCCCCGATGCCGGCGACATGGTGCGCTACCTGCGCGACTTCGCCGACCTGCTGGGGCTCCACGTGCTGTACAACACCACCATTGCCCACGTCACCCTGGACAAGGACTCCCGGGCCTGGAATGGCCACTACTTCATCCTGACCGACCAGAAGGGCCAAGCATATCAGTGCAGGTAAAAAAGAATCGGGCCAGGCAAACCCACTGAAGCTGGGCAAGATCCCAAGAAGACACCATTCCATTGGCAGGGAAAGGGAAGGGGGGTGGGGGGACGAGAGAAAAGGGCCACTAAGGCCACTCCACTCCTACTAGAAATTCAGTGCTAAGAGGTTCAACTCAGTCCCCGTTTTCTCAGGTGTCTCAGAAAGTTGAGGCTGCGTAGCTCCAGAAGATACTATCCATTTCTTTCCTCCACGATTTATCTGTCTTTAGTCATATTCGCTCTGCTGCTTTGATATCTAGTACCGGGCATAAGCACCGCTTATGTGCCCACCAAACTCTTCTAGAACACCTCTTGAACTGGTGTTTTCCAAAGTACCTGCTGGGAAATGCTAGATCAGGTAGCCAATGGGCCTTAGACAGTCCAGTGGGACTGACCAGAGCTGGAGGCCCAAGAGATAGCATCTCCAGTGACCAGTGTTGACTTGCTTTGCCTTCAGAGACAGCTTCAGCTTCTATGCACTTCAAACATGTTCAGTCTTCTCAAGGAACCTAAAGGGGAGGTTCCTGATCTCCATTTGGCAGGTGAAGAACCTGAGTTTCAGAGAACTTGAATATGCAGAAGATACTTGGTAGAGATGCTATTTAAGCTTGTGTGTTTCTGGTCATCTTTATGCTACAGCAGACTGCCTCTACCCTCCTGGTCCTTACCCTCAGATCTGGCTCCAGGAAGGTGCTTGGCAAGCCAGGGTTCATCTCCTGTAATGGAGGTACAGCATGGCTTCTTGCCTCTTAGAGCCCATGGCAAAAGGGTCAGGCTGATTTGCACTCCTGGATTTTAGGTGGCTGTGATAGTATGGAGAGCATTCATGTAGACCTGAGCAGGCAAAGGTCAGAAAGGATCTGTGTGTGCCCTTTTATAGGCCAATGGGTTCCACTTAGAAACCACCTTGCGGTCAGCCCAGGATCTCACCAGTGGATTGTAGTCCCTACCAGGCTAAAGAGCAGGCCTTCAGAATCAGACTTCTCTATGCTCAGATCTATGCCCGTTGCTCTGGGACTACTGTGGCTCCTCACATGTAAAGTGGCCATGGAACACCTAATTCAAGGTTGCTTTGGGGCAGTAATTAAGATGACACACAGCCAGACACCTTTGGCTCAGACCTATAATCATAGCTATTCAGGAGGCTGAGACCTAAAGGTCTAGATTTGAAGAAGCTAGCCCAGGCAACAAACTCCATGAGACTCTTAGTTTCAATAAGTCAACAAAATGCCAGAAATAGAATTGTGCTCAAGCACCTTCCTTGACTGAAAAAGCTAAGCAACAGCTCCCAGATCCTGAGTTCAAGCTGCAGCACCAACACACACACACACACACACACACACACATGATGATACACAGACATACTAGCCCAGGGCCTGGAACCCAAGTATTGCTCACAGATTGGTGCACATGGAAAGCAAGTCAGAAAAAGATAGGCATCAGGCTCTCTTTGTATCACTGAGGTGTTTAAAGTTACATAACTTTTTTTTGGTTTAAATGAATCGCCACATTTGGTACAATGTGTGGTGAAATGTGAAGGAAAGTGTATCTACGGGACTGCGCCTTGGGTATACTGGGCAAGGCCAGTAAATAGATGAGTGAAAGGGCTGGGAAGTTGGCTGTGCTAGAGCAATTGCCTTGCATGCATGAGGCCCTGGGTTCAATTCCTCAGCACCACATAAGCAGAAAAAAGCTGGAAGTGGCGCTGTGGCTCAAGTGGTAGAGCACTAGCCTTGAGCTGAATTGCTGAGGGACAGCACCCAGACTAAGAGTTCAGTACCCATGACCAACTCCTCCCCCCTCAAAAAAAATACATGAGTGAAGGAATGAATGAATGAATGGTGTTTTCTTTCCGAAGGGACTTTTACAGCTGAGAGACTGAGCCGTTTTTCCTCTGTGTCCTCCTGCAGTGTCCTCCTGGTAGCCACGGGGTTGTCAGTTCCCAACCAGGTGGACTTCCCTGGCTCTGAACTCGTGGAAGGTTATGAGTCCGTGTCCACAGACCCTGAGGACTTTGTGGGTCAGAACGTGCTGATCCTGGGCCACGGGAACTCCGCCTTCGAGACAGCAGAGAACATCTTGGGTGTCACAAACTTTGTCCACATGCTGAGCCGCTCCCGGGTGCGGCTCTCCTGGGCCACCCACTATGTTGGAGATGTCAGGTATGCTACATCCCTGCTTGTGCGTGCTGTGCCATCAGCTCTGTAGAGTTTGTTTTCTGTTACCCTAAGAAGATGCCTGAGACCAGGTAACTTCAAAAGAAAGCAGGTTTATTAACACACAGTTTCAGAAGCTGAGAAGTCCAGGCAGCATGGCACTGGCTTGAGTAAGCACCCCCTGCCCATATCACTCCATGTCAGATGTCACCACAGTTCTTCCCGGTGACAACAGCGCATGTCAGGGGACTGGTCACATGGCAAGACAGGAAGCTAAAACAAGAGGGGAGCTTAGACACCCTTCTTTCATGGCACCCCTCTAGCTAGAACTAAGGGGTCCCAGAACAGCGATGTGCTTTAATTGCTTCCAAGGGTCATGACCCTGGTGCTCTCCCACTAGATTTCAGTTTTGTTTTGTTTTTTCAGTTTGGGGCATAAACTCAGGGTCTGGGCACTGTCCCTGAGCTTTTTCACTCAAGGCGAGCACTCTACCACTTTGAACCACAGCTCTACTTGCAGTTTTCTGGTGGATAATTAGAGTTAAGAGTCTCACGGACTTTCCTACCCAGGCTAACTTTGAACTGTGATCCTCAGATCTTGGCCTCCTGGGTAGCTAGGATTACAGGCATGAGCCACCGGCACCCGACCTTTTTTTGTGTGTGTGCCACTCCTGGGACTTGAACTCAGAGCCTGGGCATTGTTCCCGAGCTTTTATGCTCAAAGCTAGCACTCTGCCACTTGAGCCATAGCTCTACTTCCAGTTCTCTGGTCGTTAATTGGAGATAAGACTCTGCCTGGACTGACTTTGAACTGTGATCCTCAGCCCTTAGCCTCCTGAGTAACTAGGATTACAGGCATGAGCCACCAGTGCCCAGCATAGGCTGTACCTCTTAAAGATCCATTTCCAGGGGCTGGGAAGGTGGCTCAGTGGTAGAGCGCTTGCCTTGAATGCATGAGGCCCTGGGTTCGATTCCTCAGCACCACATAAGCAAAAAGAAAAAAGCCGGAAGTGGCACTATGGCTCAAGTGGTAGAGCGTTAGCCTTGAGCTGAAGAGCTGAAGGACAGCACCCAGGCCCAGAGTTCAGGCCCCATGACCGGACCCAAAAAAAAAAAAGATCCATTCCCACCCTGGAGACCAGGCTTTCAGCACACTGATGAAGATACCATGTCCAAACCCAAGCCAGCTACGCCTCCTCTAATGCCTTTGTGGGTGTTCCCCGCTGGACTCACCAGCCCTGCTCTGCCCCCCTCTCCCTCTCTTTGCTCTTGGGAACCCAGGGCCATCAATAATGGCCTGCTGGACACCTACCAGCTGAAATCCCTGGACGGGCTTCTCGAGTCAGACCTAACGGACCTGGCCTTTGTGAAGGACCGCCAGGGCAAGTTCCACATCACCCTGAAGTTCTTCCTGGAGGAAGCCAATGCCAGCCAGAGTGCCGACTCCATCACCCTCCCCCAGGACGACAACGACAACTTCGCCATGCGTGTGGCCTATGACCGAGTCATCCGCTGCCTGGGCTGGAAATTTGACTTCTCCATTTTCAACCAGTGAGTCGAGGAGGTGGGGTGGGGGAGCAGGGCTTTCTAGCAAACCCCTTCTGGCCCTCCCTGGGGGACAGGGCAGCCCTTTTAGGTCAACACCCAAAGAAGTGCTGCTGCCCGGCCTTCCTCCCAGGATAGGAATTCCCCATCCACGTCAGGTCCCAGCTGGTCCTGTGCAGCTGAAGTTGCTCTAAGGCTGACTGGCTACCACAGGCTCCAGGGCACCTCAGAGTCTGGGGACACCAAATCCATGAGCTATGGAAGGTTCCTCTCTCATGCTAGGCTGACTTCTGCATCTCTGCTGTGGAAATAATTGTTCCTTTCTCATGTGATTATTGTAAGAACTGATAGAAGAAACTTGGAGGGCTGGGGTGTGGCTGAGGTGGTAGAGGGCCCAGCAGACACAGAACCCCAAGTTCAACCCCTAGAGCTGGGGGGCAGGGGAAGTGCCTGTGGCTCACACCTGTAATCCTAGCTACTCAGGAGACAGATCTGAGGATCAAACTTCAAAGCCAGCCTGGGCAGGAAAGTCCGTGAGATTCTTACTCCCGTTAACCACCAAAAAGCTGGAAGTGGAGCTGTGACTCAAGTGGTAGAGTACCAGCCTTGAGCAAAAAAAGCCAAACAAGAGCATGAGGCTCTTGAGTTCAAGCTCCAGTATTGGCACACACACACACAAAAAAAAAAGAAGAAGAAGAAAGTGCTTGACACATACTTATGCACAATAAAACATTAATTGCTAAAATTATTTGTAACTGTATTTAGCATGTAAGCAATTTTGGTGACACTTGTTTTTGAACTTGGAGTCTCATGCTTGCTAGATGTTCTACCACTTGAGCCATGCATGCTTCCAGCTCCTTATTTCTGTTTTAAAAAGCATGTTTGTGGAGCCGGTCTTTGATATTGTTGCCTAGTTCCATGCAAGCCTGAGGATAAGAATCTTTATCCGGTCTCTTGCATGCTTTGTGGCCAGGGAGGAGGAAGAAGAGCCTCCTTTCCCAGCATGTGACAGCAGGTCCCAGACTTAGTCCACAGCGCAGCCTTGGGTCAAGCTTGAATCCCAGCTCTGTCCCTGACTTTCTGGTCTTTAACCTAAGCCTCAGTTACTTGGCCTATTCAGTAGAGATCAGGTCTCCCCTCTTTCTGGGGTCAGAGATGAGGAGTGTAAAGCATTTATACCATGCCAGGCTTGGACCGAGGGCCTCACCCACAGCACCTGCTCCTCCTAACAGCCTTTCCATCCCAGGTCCCTCAGACTCTCCTCCGGTAGTGAGTTTGGCAAGAAGTACCCATTGATCAGAGCCAGCTACGAGTCCAAAGGAAGCCGAGGTCTCTTTATCCTGGGGACTGCCAGCCACTCGGTGGACTACCGGAAATCTGCCGGGGGCTTCATCCATGGATTCCGATACACAGGTGAGCCCAGCTGAGAGTGATGCTGTCCCCAGGTAGAACCATCAATAGTCATAAATTGCCTCTCTGGAGCAAATGACCAGGATTTTTGGGAGTTTTTTGTTTTTTTATTTGGGGTGGGGGGGTGGGGGCAGTCATGGGGCTTGAACTCTAGGCCTGGGCACTGTCCCTGTGCTCTTCAGCTCAAGGCTAGCACTCTACCACTGGAGCCACAGCTCCACTTCCGGTTTTCTGGTTGTTAATTGGAAATAAGAATCTCACAGACTTGGGCTGGGAAGGTGGCTCAGTGGTAGAGCGCTTGCCTTGCATGCCTGAGGCCCTGGGTTCGATTCCCAGCACCACATAAGCAAAAAGAAAAAAAGCAATAAGTGGTGCTGTGGCTCAAGTGGTAGAGCGCTAGCCTTGAGCTGAAGAGCTGAGGGACAGCGCCCAGGCCCAGAGTTCAGGCCCCACGACCGGACCCAAAAAAAAAAAAAAGAATCTCACAGACTTCTCACAGACTTTGCTGTTTGGGCTGACTTTGAACCATGATCCTCAGATCTCAGCCTCCTAAGTAGCTAGGATTATAGGCGAGAGCTCCAGCAGATGACCAGATTTTCATAGTCTGTGGATAGGTCTAGAAAAGTAGTAGATAGAGGCTGGAGACATAGCTCAAGTGCAAAGCTCTGAGTTCAAATCCCAGTTTAGAAAACAAGGAAAAGAAGGAAGGAGGGAAGAAGGGAAGGAAAGAAGGGAGGGAGGGAAAAAAAGACAGGAAGAAGGAAAGGGGGGGTGAACAGAGTCACAGTTCACACTGTCATCATAGCAGACCCATGGGACAGCTCCTGCAGCTTCTTTAACCTGAGGGACAATGGACTAGAGCCATGTCCCTGTGTAGCTGCATAGCGTATAGCCATAAACAGGACAGGCACTACTTGTTCCTTTATGCACGACTTTTGCTGAGCTTTGCTCTCAAGGCCTGGGCCTCCCCTGCTTGATGAGCAATGACAGCATCTAAGTGCTGCGGCCCTGCCTCCCTCTGGCCATTGCAGTGCGTGCTGTCCACCGGCTCCTGGAGCATCGCCACCATGGTGTGGCCTGGCCATCCACCAAGTACCCCATCACGCAGCTGACCAGCTCCATCATCCGGCGCGTGAACGAGGCTTCTGGGTTGTACCAGATGTTTGGTGTGCTGGCTGACATCATCCTGCTGAACGAGTGAGTAGCTTGTCACCCACCCCCTCACACCCATACACCCTGCACTGCCCTTCTCTCCCTAGTCCTCGGTGCCCAGTAGCCTGGTTCTTCCTTTGCACAAGGCCAGCAGGCGAGGCAGGATCTATCCTGGGGGGTAAAGGTCAGTGAAATCCATAAGCTCTGCAGACAGGACAGTCCAGGTAAACCCTAGGTTTACCTCTTTCTTGCTGTGTGCATCAGTTAAGATGGTTGCCTCTCTGACCACTTCTCCCCTTCTCTCCAGAATGATAGCTTAGCAGTATTGAAGGAAGATGTTGATAGACAGCTTTGGCCCTAAGTAAGTGAGCAGTAGCAAGAGTTCAGTCCTCAGCAGGAAGGACCAGAGGCCCCGCAGGCTGGACCACCCGGTCTCAGGCCTTCCTTTTCCATCAGACAATAAGCAGCCAGTCACAGAGGACACAGTGTGCTTAAGAAGGACTGGATGGGGCTGGGAATGTAGCTTAGTGGTAGAGTGCTTGCCTAGCATGAGTGAAGCCCTGGGTTCTGAGTTCTCAGTGCCACATAAACAGAAAAGGCTGGAAGAAGCTCTGTGGCTCAAGTGGGAGAGCGCTAGCCTTGAGCAAAAGAAGTTCAGGGACAGTGCCCAGGCCTTGAGCTAAGCTCCATCACTGGCCCCCAAAGAAGGACAGGATGCAGGGAAGGCTTGCTGAGGACTGGGGCAGGCTCATCCCAGAACACCCGATCCATGCGCTCAGCCCACCACCTCAATTTACCCATGACACCTGCTCTTTCACAGTGACACCCAACTGTGGGCCAACCCGCCAGCTCTGCCTTCAGCCATGTCTAGATCTACCAGCTCTCGCCAGGCCCCTCTGGGTCCATATCCTGGCACCTCCCACCGCATCTGTGTGTTCCTCAGCACAGCCGCCCAAGTGGCCTCTTTAGAGGGCAGTCACATGCTGTCGCGTCTGCCCTTCTCTGCAGGACCCAGGGCTCCCTTCCCAGCCCATGAAGCCAAGGTCTCCCCAGGTGACTCTCCCTGACCTGGCACCCTTCCTCACCCAGTGATCCCCACTGCAGCCTCCCTCCCTTAACACAGCAGGTGTCTGCCCTCCCCGGGTCCCCTGAGCCTCGTGCTGCTTCCCCCCAAGAGGCCCCTCCAGGCTGCACAGAGCTTTCTGGAATCTGTCCTATGTGTGAGAGTAAGCGCAGATGTCAAACCCAAACCATGTAGAGCCAACTTGCCAGCTCCTGAAGCTGCTTGGTTGACCCTGTGGGAGAACTAAATGCTCCCCAATCTTGCTCCTCTCCCCTCAGCCCTGCACCTCTCCCCTCCGCCCTGCACCTCTCCCCTCAGCCCTGCTCCCCTCCCTTCCACCCTGCACCTCTCCCCTCAGCCCTGCTCCTCTCCCCTCAGCCCTGCTCCCCTCCCCTCCGCCCTGCTCCTCTCCCCTCAGCCCTGCTCCCCTCCCCTCCGCCCTGCTCCTCTCCCCTCAGCCCTGCTCCTCTCCCCTCCACCCTGCACCTCTCCCCTCCGCCCTGCTCCTCTCCCCTCAGCCCTGCACCTCTCCCCTCAGCCCTGCACCTCTCCCCTCAGCCCTGCTCCTCTCCCCTCCACCCTGCACCTCTCCCCTCAGCCCTGCTCCTCTCCCCTCAGCCCTGCTCCTCTCCCCTCAGCCCTGCTCCTCTCCCCTCAGCCCTGCTCCTCTCCCCTCCACCCTGCACCTCTCCCCTCAGCCCTGCTCCTCTCCCCTCAGCCCTGCTCCCCTCCCCTCCGCCCTGCTCCCCTCCCCTCAGCCCTGCACCTCTCCCCTCAGCCCTGCTCCTCTCCCTTCAGCCCTGCTCCTCCTCCCTCAGCCCTGCTCCTCTCCCCTCAGCCCTGCTCCCCTTCCCTCAGCCCTGCTCCTCTCCCCTCAGCCCTGCTCCTCTCCCCTCAGCCCTGCTCCCCTCCCCTCAGCCCTGCTCCTCTCCCCTCAGCCCTGCTCCTCTCCCCTCAGCCCTGCTCCCCTCCCCTCCGCCCTGCACCTCTCCTCTCAGCCCTGCTCCTCTCCCCTCAGCCCTGCACCTCTCCCCTCAGCCCTGCTCCTCTCCCCTCAGCCCTGCTCCTCTCCCCTCAGCCCTGCTCCTCTCCCCTCAGCCCTGCACCTCTCCCCTCAGCCCTGCACCTCTCCCCTCAGCCCTGCTCCTCTCCCCTCAGCCCTGCTCCTCTCCCCTCAGCCCTGCTCCTCTCCCCTCAGCCCTGCACCTCTCCCCTCAGCCCTGCTCCTCCTCCCTCAGCCCTGCTCCTCTCCCCTCAGCCCTGCTCCTCTCCCCTCAGCCCTGCTCCTCTCCCCTCAGCCCTGCACCTCTCCCCTCAGCCCTGCTCCTCCTCCCTCAGCCCTGCTCCTCTCCCCTCAGCCCTGCTCCTCTCCCCTCAGCCCTGCACCTCTCCCCTCAGCCCTGCTCCTCTCCCCTCAGCCCTGCTCCTCTCCCCTTAGCCCTGCACCTCTCCCTTCAGCCCTGCTCCTCCTCCCTCAGCCCTGCTCCACTCCCCTCAGCCCTGTTCTTCTCCCCTCAGCCCTGCTCCTCTCCCCTCAGCCCTGCTCCCCTCCCCTCAGCTCTGCACCTCTCCCCTCAGCCCTGCTCCTCCCCCCTCAGCCCTGCTCCTCTCCCCTCCGCCCTGCACCTCTCCCCTCAGCCCTGCTCCTCCCCCCTCAGCCCTGCTCCCCTCCCCTCCGCCCTGCACCTCTCCCCTCAGCCCTGCTCCTCCTCCCTCAGCCCTGCTCCTCTCCCCTCAGCCCTGCTCCTCTCCCCTCAGCCCTGCACCTCTCCCCTCAGCCCTGCTCCTCTCCCCTCAGCCCTGCTCCTCTCCCCTTAGCCCTGCACCTCTCCCTTCAGCCCTGCTCCTCCTCCCTCAGCCCTGCTCCACTCCCCTCAGCCCTGTTCTTCTCCCCTCAGCCCTGCACCTCTCCCCTCAGCCCTGCTCCCCTCCCCTCAGCTCTGCACCTCTCCCCTCAGCCCTGCTCCTCCCCCCTCAGCCCTGCTCCTCTCCCCTCCGCCCTGCACCTCTCCCCTCAGCCCTGCTCCTCCCCCCTCAGCCCTGCTCCCCTCCCCTCCGCCCTGCACCTCTCCCCTCAGTCCTGTACCTCTCCCCTCAGCCCTGTTCTTCTCCCCTCAGCCCTGCTCCTCTCCCCTCAGCCCTGCTTCTCCCCCCTCAGCCCTGCACCTCTCCCCTCAGTCCTGTACCTCTCTCCTCAGCCCTGCTCCCCTTCCCTCCGCCCTGCACCTTTCCCCTCCACCCTGTACCTCTCCCCTCCACCCTGTACCTCTCCCCTCCACCCTGCACCTCTCCCCTCAGCCCTGCTCCTCTCCCCTCTGCCCTTCTCCCCTCCCCTCAGCCCTGCACCTCTCCCATCTGCCTTGCACCTCTGCCCTGCTCCTCTTTTCCCGCCTGCCCCCCCACTCAGCCCCATGCCCTTCCCACAGGAACGCCACAGCATTTGAGTACCTGGAGGAGTTCCCTGTGCAGATGCTAGCCCAGCTGGAGACCCTCACAGGGAGGAAGGCACAGCATGGGCTCTTCGTCATCAATATGGAGTATGGCAAAAACTTCTCTGGGCCCGATAAGGATGTCTTCTTCTATGACCGATCCGTGGGGCACACAGAGGACGCCTGGCAGTCTAACTTCCTCCACCCGGTCCTCTATTACTACAGACACCTCCCCACTGGTGAGTGGCCCAGCCTCCCCCAGCACAGCCTCTTGGAGGTGGCATTCTGGGGCCCCACCATCAAACCTCACAGAACCCTTTCAGCTGACAGAAGGGGGAACCCAGGAGACTCTTCCCAGAGATCAGATAGAGACAGAAGGTCTGAGAAGGCTCTGCGATACGCCCTGATTCTTGCCTGAACTATAATCTGCATAGACAGCCCTGACACTCTTGAATTCCAAGTTCCATGTGGTAAGAGGAATGCTCTATGTCCCAAGGAGGCTGAGAACAGGGCCAGGGGGCTGCAGATGCAGTATTTTAGGAAGAGTAGGGCAAGGAACTCGTCCAGCTAGCACAGTACAGGAAAGAGGCAAAATTTCCAGCCTATCCTTTCAGTGCTGTGTGATGTTGGGCTGTTACCCTCTCTGAGCCTCACCTTCTGGAGATCACAATATCCATTTCCGATAGCCTTGGTAAAGGAAAATCTAACAACTCAGGTCCAGTTGCTCCCAATAAGTGCACAGCCTGGGAACGGGACTTGCACTTCAAAGCTGTGAGGGCACAGGCAGAGGAGGTGGGTCCTGAGAGGGGATGTTCTCCAGGGAAGAGGTGGTCTCAGCTGGCAGAAAGGACAGAGATCCAGGTCTGCATTCAGCGAAGAAGCTGGCCACCCCCTACAGTCTGGTTCCCAGTACAGAGATGGTCAGGCGTGGATGCACGCGTCCTCAGCCTAGGTACCAGTCAGGCTCTCACGCTCCTTGGCAGCTTAAAGCAGCCACAGGGACCTTGATTAGAAAATCACCACAACCACTGGACTCAGCACTGGCTCTGAAACCACAAGCCACAGGGCCGGTTCCTCTTCCTCATGTCAGCACTGGCTAATACGTGGAGTCCGCAGGCTGACCACAGACAGCCCCGGCCAATGTGCATCAGGACCAGGGCAGCAGAGGGGAGACGCCAGCCAGAGCTGAACACACAGCACTGCCTTGCGGCACGGGCCACGGCCTGCTGTCACCAAGCTCTCCCTCTCCCACAGAGCAGGACGTGCGCTTCCGCCCGGCGCACTGGCCCCTGCCCCGGCCAGCAGCCATCCACCACGTCGTGGAGGACTTCCTCACTGACTGGACAGCGCCGGTTGGGCACATCCTCCCCCTAAGACGCTTCCTGGAAAACTGTCTGAACACCGATTTACGGAGCTTCTATGCAGGTAACGTGACTTCCCAAAAAGGCAGGCGACTGGGCCAGAGGCCCCAGGACAGGCAGAGAGAACCACAGAATCTAACTGTGGAAATCCAAACCCCCAGGCTCCTAGATCTAACCGCCATAGGCTAGATGCTCATTAGAATCCCTCCCAGTGCAGCACACCTAAAAAGACCATTTTTTTTTCTTCAAACAAATGGCAAGAAAAATGAGGGAACCCCCGCAGAGCAGTGCTGGGCCTGGCTGCTGATCATCAGCCCAGGGCCTGCATCTGCACTGACTACACCTTGAGATGGGCAGGTGGGGTGGAGCGGGATGGAAGGTCTGTTTAGAGATCCTCAAATAAATTTGGCTCTCAGTGGGTCAATCAAGGCAAAAAGAGAAGAAGGGGGAGGGGGAAGGGGAAGGAAAAGGAGGAGGAGGAAATGCTTTGTACCCTGGGTACAATGAGGGAAGTGGGGAATCTCTTAAACACCCCTCCTTCCCTTAGTAAAGTTAGAGGTTAACCTCATGCCATCATTGAGGTTCAGAAATCACAGAAGCATATGCAAACCTTCCCCTGGGAGATATGATTTAAAACTACTAGCCTTCCCAGAATTCCCACAGATGAAATTTGATCAAAATCATTGAAAACATGACAGAGAAACCACTGTGAGGGGGTTTTAGCAGAACCAGAGACTATAGGATCAAACCCACAAAGACTGAAGGTACTAGGAAGGCTAGATAGAAAATACAACAAGGGGGGCTGGGAAGTTGGCTTAGTGGCAGAGTGCTTGCCTTGCATGCATGAGGCCCTGGGTGCAATTCCTCAGTACCACATAAGCAGAAAAAAGCCAGAAGTGGAGCTGTGGCTCAAGTGATAGGGCACTGGCCTTGAACTAAAGAGCTGAGGGACAGTGCCTAGACCCAGAGTTCAGCCCCCACCACCGAACAAAAGAAAAGAAAATACAACAAGGGGGCTGGGAAGGTGGCTCAGTGGTAGAGTGCTTGCCTTGCATGTATGAGGCCCTGGGTTGGGTTCCTTAGCACCACATTAAGCAGAAAAGGTCAGAAGTGGCGCTGTGGCTCAAGTGGCAGAGCACTAGCCTTGAGCTGAAGAGCTCAGAGACAGTGCCCAGGCCCAGAGTTCAGCCCCCACCACCGACAAAAGAAAAATAAGAAATAAAACACAACAAGGTATGTTTAATGTATCTGGAGAAATTTTTTTTCTGGTCCTTTTGCTTGAATTCTGGGCAATGTCCCTGGGCAATTTTGCTCAAGGCTAGCACTCTACCACTTGAACCACAGCACCCCTTCCAACTTTTTTTATGATTAATTGGAGCCAAGAGCCTCATTGGTGGGGGAGGGAAGGGGAAGGGGAAACAGGAGGAGGCTACAATGCTTGATAAAAAATGTACTCATTACCTTGCCCATGTAATTGTAACCCCTCTGGATGGTATTTTAAAAAAAAAAAAAAAAGTCTCATAGGCTTTCTTGTCTGAGCTGGCTTTGAACCGTGATCCTCAGATCTCAACCTCCTAAGTAGCTAGGATTATAGGCATGAGCCACCAGCACGCAGCCTAGAAAAAAAAAATTTAATGATTATTGACAGTATATTGAAGGAAGAAAAATGTATTTACATTTTGGCTGGGTGTGTAGCTCAGTGGCAGAGCACTTGCCTAGCACACACAAGGCCCAGGGTTCCATCCTGAGTATTGCAAACAATTAAAAAAAAAACCTCGCTGAGTAGAGTGCTGATGGCTCACAGCTCAGGAGGCTGAGATCTAAGGAGGATCACGGTTCAAAGAAGGCTGGGAAGCAAAGTCTGTGGACACTTATCTCACTAAAACTACCAAAAAAACTGGGAATGAAGCTGTAGCTCAAGTGGTAGAACACTAGCCTTGAGCACAAAAGCTCAAGAACAGCTCCCAGACCCAAAGTTAAAGCGCCAGGACCAACAAAAAATAAATTCAAAAATTCTGACGGCCAAACCTAAAGAGGAACTGAGAAGTAAAAAGATCGGAGCGGGGAGGGGGGATGTTAATGCCAAAAATAAGTAAATAAAAGACCCAAAAAGTAATTGATAAAAAGCTAAATTTTTGTCTTTTGGTCCCTTAAATGTCTACAATATCCATTCCTTTTCTCTATGGAGAAAGCATCTGCTAATCACCTGCTATGTGGTATGTTGGGCACTGATCATGTTGAGTTAGAGACCAACTCTGGCCTAGTCAGAGAGCAAGTGTCCTGGGCTCCTCAAGTCTGCTTTGAAACAATGCTGTGTCCATTATGGGAGATGGTTTGAAGGTATAGCGTACAGTGACCTATCTACACAAGCTAAGCTGTCCACCTTGCTCAGACACTGAATGGTCTGTGAAGGGATGTTATAGAGTTACAGGTAAACCGTCAGCTCCAAAATGCCCACCTCAGGGTTTGAGGAGGCCACAGTGCCAGTGTGGGCACATTCCCATCCAAGGTGCCTCCTGTCGCGCAAACCACGGGGTGTGGCTGGCCCAGCTGGGAAGAGCCCTCTTAGCAGAAGGCCGGCCGGCAGGGCAGCGAAACAGCCCCCTTGAATTGCTACTTTCCTCCTGCACATCTGCTGTCTTCTCTGTTCTGCCAGAGCCCCTGTAGTGGGAGTGAGATAAGCAGGAATGGGTATTTGGGGTAGCCCTTCCCAGGTTATTAGTCCCTGGAATCCTCACAACATCCTTCTGTCTATGCCCTGTGTGTGGATTTGTGTGCTGGTTTGAACTTAGGGCCTTTGCACTGTTCCTGAACTTTTTTTTTTTTTGGGGGGGGGGGTCCAGTTGTGGGGCCTGAACTCTGGGCTTGGGCACTGTCCCTCAGCTTTTCAGCTCAAGGCTAGCACTCTACCACTTGAGCCACAGCGCCACTTCCGGCTTTTTTCTTTTTGCTCATGAGGTGCTGAGGAATCGAACCCAGGGCCTCATGCATGCAAGGCAAGCGCTCTACCACTGAGCCACCTTCCCAGCCCTTCCTGAACTTTTTTTTTTTTTTTTTTTGTCGGTCGTGGGGCTTGAACTCTGGGCCTGGGTGCTGTCCCTCAGCTCTTCAGCTCAAGGCGAGCGCTCTACCACTTGAGCTACAGCGCCACTTCCGGTTTTCTGGTGGTTTATTGGAGATAGGAGTCTCACGGTCTCTCCTGCCCGGGCTGGCTTTGAACCGCGATCCTCAGATCTCAGCCTCCTGAGTTGCTAGGATTACAGGCGTGAGCCACCAGCGCCCGGCCCCTGAACTTTTTTTAAGGCTAGCACTCTACCACTTGAGCCACAGCTCCACTTCCAGCTTTTTCAGTAGTTAACTGGAGTTAAGAGTCTCACTGGGGCTGGGAATGTGGCTTAGTGGCAGAGTGCTTGCCTACCATGCATGAAGCCCTGAATTCTATTCCTTAGTACCACATAAACAGAAAAGGCCAGAAGTAGCACTGTAGCTCAAGAGGTAGACTGCTAGCCTTAAGCAAAAGAACTAAAGGACAGCGCCCAGGCCGAGTTTAAGCCCTGGGACTGGGAGGGGGGGGAAAAAAAGTCTCACTCCTGACTTGTGATCCTCAGATCTCAGCCTCCCGAGTAGCTAAGATTATAGGTATGAGCCACCGTGCTATACCCTTTTTTTCTTCCTTTCTTTTTTTTTTCTTTTACATCAGATAAAGGAGCTTGGGGGGGGGGGGGCTGGGAAGGTGGCTCAGTGGTAGAGCGCTTGCCTTGCATGCATGAGGCCCTGGGTTCGATTCCTCAGCACCACATAAGCAGAAAAAAAAAAGCCAGAAGTGGCGCTGTGGTTCAAGTGGTAGAGTGCTAGCCTTGAGCTGAAGAGCTGAGGGACAGTGCCCAGGCCCAGAGTTCAGGCCCCAGGACTGGACCCAAAAAAAAAAAAGGAACTTGGGGAGGTGAAAAGGTTTTCCTAAACCAGGCACAGGTGGCTCATGCCTGTAATCCTAGCTACTCTGGAGGCTGAGGTCTGAGGACTGAAGTTCAAAACTAGTCTGGACAAGAAAGTCTGTAAGACTCAGGCTGGAATGCAGCTCAGTGGCAAAGTGCTTGCCTAGCAAGTGCAACATCCTGGGTTCGATCCCCAGTACCAAAAAAGAAAAGACAAAAAAAAAAAAAAAATACAGTTAAAAAAAAACCAAACAGAAAGTCTGTAAGATTCTTTTTTTCCCTCCCATCCTGGGGCTTGAATTCAGATCCTGGGCGCTGTCCTCGAGCTCCTTTTTACTCAAGATTAGTGCTCTATCATTTGAGCTACAGCACCAATTCTGACTTTTTCTTAAGTTTATTGGAGATAAGAGTCTCACAGACTTCCTTGCCTGGGCTGGCTTTAAACCACAATCTCAAGCCTCCTGAGTAGCTAGGATTACAGGTGTGAGCCACTGGTACCAGCTCCATGAGACTTATCTCCACTATACTACCAAAACAAGTCAGAAGTTGGAACTGTAGTTCAAGTGGTCAAGTGGTAGTCTTGAGTTTAGTAGTCTTGCTAGTTTTGAGTAAAAAAAGCTCAGGGATAGCACCCAGACCCTGAGTTCAAGCCCCAAGGCTCCCACAAAGTTGCTAAAGGATTCTGGCCAGGTTTTGGTATACTGCCTTCCCATCTTGTCTCTAACTTCCTCAACAAGACTGAGCCCAAGCTTGGCTTAGTGGAACATTCCTGTAACTACCAGCTCTCAGGAGACAGAAGCAGGATTGTGAGTCTGAGGCCAGCCTGGGCAACATGGGGAGTTAGTTGGAGGCAAACCTGGGCTATATAAAGAGATCCTGACTTCAAACAAAAGACCTGAGGGCTGGGAAGGTGGCTCAGTGGTAGAGTGCTTGCCTTGCATGCATGAGGCCCTGGGTTCCATTCCTCAGCACCACATAAGGAGAAAAAAGCCGTAAGTGGTGCTGTGGCTCACATGGTAGAGCGCTAGCCTTGAGCTGAAGAGCTGAGGGACAGTGTCCAGACCCAGAGTTCAGGCCCCACGATCGGACCAAAAAAAAAAGAAAAAGACATGAGTCTAGGACTAAAGCTTATATGCAGCCCTTGGCTTGGGGTCACTCATGTCAGGAAATAATAGACCCCATGATTACAACACGTTGCTGTCAGAGCACCTTTTCTTTATTTCTTCTACAAATTCTATTTCTTCTATAAATGCAATCCCTCTACAGCCCAGCAGGCACCATGTCTGTAACTTACATAGTATTACATACTGCAGAAAACCCAACCTGGGTTTCTTTTCCATGTCTTCAGTTTCACAGACACAGATGCATCTTTCCATAGAGGCTTCTTCTTTCCTTACTGAGTCTAGACCTGACCCCTTTTCAGTTTGAGGAGTCACTTTATGATGGCTTTGGCATGTCCAAGTTGCCCACATCACTGCTCCCAGGCAGAGTTCCCCAGCACAAGCACAGGGTAACAAAGAGCTTGGCTGAGTCATAACCAGTGGCCAGGTAGCCTGTGGGTAGGCTTGCTGGTGAAGGGCTGAGCCATACATAATCCTGGGCGTGTGTAGCAGGAAGGTGCCAATACCATCTCCCCATCAGAATAGCCCACAGTGTGAAACTTACACCTGCTTCATTTGGGGAGCTTCTCCTTTCATATTTTCAGACAATGGGCAATTGTAGATCGCTGAAGCCACGGAAACCAAACTGGATCCAGTGGTGATCACTGGCTAAAAGGCTTACTCCTGCCCTCCCCAAGCCATCGTCCAGCCCCAGCAGGAACTACTTGTAGCCCTTAGGGGTCTCAGCCTCTTCATTACTGATCGGATCTGTCCTGAAGGATTTATGCGTTTTATCTTTTTTTCTTTTCCTGCACTTCTCCCTCTTCTCCAAGCCTGATTCCTCCTCTTTTGCCTTTGTGTAGAATCCTGTTTCCTGTTCAGCCTAACGCGCCAGAAGCTGCCCCCCTTCTGCCAGCTCCGGTATCTGAGCATGCAGGGGCTGGCAAGCACCGAAAGCCTCCGGCAGCACGGTGTGGACAGCAGGCTCCTGCGGGACTATGCCGCCATGGGCCAGCATCCGGAGGGCAGCAGCCAACCGCCTGGCAGCCGTGGGCCCAACAGTCACCCCCTGGTTCCAGGGCCTCTGGTCCAGTCCCTTGACAGCAACAAGGAGGAACTCTGACTGTCCCCTCCGGGCGTGGCAGCCTCGAGTCCACCCACCACAGGTGGGACCCGAGACCACTCAGCTCCCCACTGGGACTGCACCAGAGCTAAATGGCAGGGCACGTAAGGCTGGGGTGTGGCCATGCACCAGTCCCTTTTGTCCTCATTGGGGGGGAGGGGCAGCAGAAGGGCGTGCTCTGCCAGGTATGAGCTGCCTTTCATAGCTGGCTGGACAGGTCGGTCACTGAGCACCAGGCTGCCTCGTTCTGTCCCCTCCCAGATCCACCCGCTCCTTTCTCCCTAGTCTGCTTTCAGATGGGCCTGGACCCTGCTGTGGAGTAGCTGAAACCTACCATCATCCTCACAGGGTTTGCAGCAACAGAGGTTCAGTCCCCATCGTGTGACTCACACGAGAGACGGGCCCTGGGACTCACTGCCCAGACCCTCCCTAGGTGCTCCACCTGCACACTCCACTCCCCCCTCCACCTCGCCCCCTCGGTCTGGCCACCAACCCTGCGGGCCTGGCTTATAATCCCAGCCTGGAGGGCTGACCTTGATGGTGGAGTGGAGACCAGAATCCTTGGGCCTGGCCACCTGACCTAAGTCCTCCCTAAAGTACACCTTGTTTAGAGAAACTGCTGAGGTGTGTAATGGCTGGGGAATTCAGTTTCTGCCTCTATCACCTGGAGCCTCCACTCTCCCCTCAGGATGTGACTATTTGTGCCTAGGCCCTGGGGAAGTATTATAATTGACAGAAGTGACAAGGTTTCTTGACAGCCCCAATGCTCACTTCCCCCAGGGAGCGTGCACCTCCAATTCATGGATGCACTCAATTCCAGGGACACTGGCTTTCAGGACTGGAAGCCCCTTCTTAGGATATCCCCTTCCCTCTGGCTAGGTCCGCGTCCCCTGACCACGAGCCTGACTCTTCACCTCCCCGTGCTATCCCTCCCCTCCAGTAGCTCACTCTGTCTTTTCCAAAGTTATGTGTGCATGCACACACACGCACTGCTCCTGGGGTTTGAAATTAGGGCTTCAGTGCCATCCCTGATCTCTTTTGCTCAAAGTTAGTGCTCTACCACTTGAGCCACAGCTCCACTTCTGGCTTTTTGGTTAATTGGAGATAAGAGACACAGATTTTCTTGCCAAAGCTGGCTTTGAATCATGATCCTTAGCTCAGTCTCAGCCTCCTGAGGATGACAGGCAAGAACCATTGGCACCTGACTTTGAAGCATTTTAATGAATCTTAATTAGGTCTGTGCCACAATATTGAATCCTGTTCCGCACGCATCACCCACTAGTTTCAAGGCTGGCGCAGCCACTTGTTCCAATTAAAATTCAAAGCTGGTAACAAGTAGCTGATTTTAATATAGAGAATTCCATTCGTGCAGTTGATTAGAGATGTCACCCTTTGTTCCATTTTATAAGAGTTGGTTCCAAACAGTGGCCATCGTGGCTTCATTTGCCAAGTCTCCATCTGCACAGCCCCTCCTAGCTGTTCCCCTCCCTTGAGCAACCCTCATCTCTGGCCCCCGTTGCTTTGGGCTCACCACCTCTGGGGGCTGCCACACCCGCTCTGTTGTACTGGGTTCACATTTGCACTTGATTGTCTTGTTTCCTTTTTTGGGAATCTGCACACCCAGTAGCAGAACCAGTCCCTTCCAGCTGGGCCCAGTTCCTCATTCCTCTCAGCTGAGCCCTGGCTTCAGTCATTCCTTCTTTTTTTCTTTTCTTTTTCATATTATAAAGTTATTGGTGCACAATACACAAGTCAGCCTGGCCACTGGCCAGAAGGGGACCCCATTGTAAGTGCAAAGGCAGTGATTTTAGAGGGAAACACAGGGCTGGGGTGCAGCTCTGTGGCAGAGGACTTACCCAGCATGTGCGAAGTGCCGGATTTCATCCCCAGCAGCCCCCAGTCCTCCAGAGACTGCAGAATTAGGCCATAAATAGTGGGAGACATCTTGGAAGAAATTTGAGGAATCTTTCTTCATTCTCAGATCCCTAATTCAAAAATAAAGGTGAGCTTTTGAAGCTATATGTGTGTGTGTATGTGTGTATGTGTATAACATATAATGAGAAAGGACTTTAATCAAAGGTACTATAATCAGAAAGGCACTATAATCAGAAAAAGGACTTTCCAATTAATAGAATGGTTCTCCACAGGAAGAGAATTTTGTCGGGGGGAGGGAGGGTTGTATCTGCGGTTGGTCCTGGGGCTTGAACTCAGGGCCTTGGTGCTGTCCCTGAGCTTTTTTGCTCAAATTTATCATGCTACCACTTGAACCCTAGCTTCACTTCTGGCATTCTTCTGTTTGGTTAGAGATAAGACTCTCACGTACTATCCTGCCTGGGCTGGCTTTGAACTGCAATCCTCAGATCTCAGCCTCCTGAGTAGCTAGGATTACAGGCATGAGCTACCAATGCCCAAGCTTTCCACTGGAAGTTTTATCAGCAGTAAGGACTCTCATCCAGCCTGTACTAATTATGTGAAAGAAAAAGTTAGGAAGGAAAAATAGCCTCAGCCGGTGCTGGTAGCTCACGCCTGTAATCCTAGCTACTCAGGAGGCTGAAATCATGGTTTGAAGTCAGTCCAAGCAGGAAAATCCAAAAGACTCTTTATTTCCAGTTAACTACCAGAAAACTGGAAGTGGCGCTGTGGCTCAAGTGGTAGAGCACTTGCCTTGAGCTAAAGAGCTCAGGGACAGTGCTCAGGCCCAGAGTTCAAGCCCTACAACTGACAAAAAAAAAAAAAAAAAAAAAGGCAGCGGCAAAACAGCCTGGGCAAAAGGGACCATAGTGGAATACAATGTGGAGAAAGGGAATGTACTTATTCTATAAAGAACTGAATGAAATGAGAACTATGAAGAACAGTTAACATCACCACAGGGCCTGCTTGCAGCTCTTACAAGGAGAAGTGCTAAGGCAGTTAACAAGAAAGATGCAGGATAGGAAATCTGAGCCCACCCCTGGAACCTTGTAAATAGAAAAGGAACCAGAATGGCAGCCGTGGTTCCCTTGGGATTCTGGGAAGAGTTCTTTCTCTTTTTTTTCCCTCCTTTGCCCATATGTGGGATTATATATTTTTTTCTTTTTTCTTTTTGTCAGTCGTGGGGCCTGAACTCTGGGCCTGGACGCTGTCTGTCAGCTCTTTAGCTCAAGGCTAGGGCTCTACCACTTGAGCCATAGCACCACTTCCAGCTTTTTCTGCTTATGTGGTGCTGAGGAATCGAACCCAGGGCCTCATGCATGCAAGGCAAGCGCTCTACCACTGAGCCACCTTCCCAGCCCCCATGGGATTATTTTCTAGTGAAACAAATAACTAGCTTTTGAAATTGAGGATGGCTGGCAGCCCCTGCAGGACTTATTCTGCTTCCTTGGCCTCAGGATCCCCTCAGATGGCGGCACTTTCTGCTCCCCAGCAAGTGTAGGGGTGGAAACACTCAGCTAATGATGCCGTTGTGTGTGTGTGTGTATGTGTGTGTGTGTGTGTGTGTGTGTGTGACCATGCACTCTGCTGGCAGACTTGGTCAGTGCAAGGATCTTCCAGCTTTTGTGAGGACCTTCTGGAGTCTCCAAGACATTTCAGAGCTCCAAATTCCTTTTGCCTAATAAGTGGGAGAATCCCTACGGTCTGCTTGGAAGCCAACTCACCCAGAAGTGAATGTGGGCTGGCATGGTGGTACTCACCTGCTACCCCAGCACTCAGGAGGAGAGGACGGGAGGATGAGTTTAAGGTCTGACTGGCCTAATAGCAAGACCTCATTTCCAAAAATAAAAATAAAGTCTTTTGATCGGAAGTACCGAGAATCCTGTTGTATATGTTTAAAAGCTATTCCCACCAATTCTTCTCTATGCTGTTTTGGTCTGTTTTCTGTGGCTATTACAAAATACCTGAGGCTGAGTTCTTTATAAAGAAAAAGGGCTCCCTTAGCCATGGGGCAGGTGAATGGCGTCACAGGAGCCCATGTGAGAGGGAGAGAGTGCATGATATGGCAGGGCACCAGGGAGCCACAGGGGCTCTTTTATTACAGTGCTCTCTGTGAGAACAACCAGACTCCTACAGAGCTCTTCAGTGCCTGATGAGCGCATCCCCCAGTGACCCAGCCACCCCCTCTCTTACATAAGATCCCATGTCACCTTCCAATAGCTCCACTGTGGCTATCAAGACCCCAACACAGGAGTCCTGAGGGACACACCACGACATCCAAAGAGGAGGAGCCTAAACCCTGCCTACTGAGTGTGGGCCAGACTTAGTGATGCACATCCAGCATGGCTTTTCCAAGATTCGGTGATAAAAGGACTCGCATTTGCCCAGAGAGCCTTCCCCACCCCCACCCCAGCTCTGTCTTTTTCTCCCTCCTTCCCTCTCTCTTCCCCCTCCCCTCCTTTTCCTCTCCCTCCAACTCCACACTTGCTTACTCCCTTTTTCCCTCCTTCTCTCTCTCCAGTCATTCACTCTGAGGAAGGCCATACAGCCTGTCACAAGGACTTCTGGGAAGCCCATAAAAAGGCCTGTGTGTCACAAAACAAGCCTGCCAACAACCACAAAGGATCCTGGCTGTACTACAGCCAAACCCTATGCCTGTAACCCCAGTCACCACCCTCAACTCAACCACATGAGAGGCTCTGACCAGAGCCAGTGCAGACTCCTGTCTCCTTCAAGCCACCAAACAGGCAATACCAGTCCACTCACAGTGCCTGGCTACTCATCACCCTCCCTGTGACCCTCCTCCCTATGGACTCTGACAAATAAGAAGTAAAGGGAAGCTGGGCACCAGTGGTCTTGCCTGTAGTCGTAGCCACTCAGAAGACTGAAATCTGAAGATCGTGCTTCAAAGCCAGCCCGGGCAGGAAAGTCCATGTGACTCTCAGCTCCAATTAAGCGCTTTCCTTGAGCTGAAGAGCTCAGGGACAGTGCCCAGGCCCAGAGTTCAAGCCTCATAACCAAAAAAAAAAAAAGTAAAGGGATCCCCAAACAATTCCTGGTATGCATGAGGTTCCCATAGGAAGGCGGAGAAGTGGAAATGTAGATTATCCCACAGTCCTCCAAAAGAATTAGAGCTGGAGGCTGGAGGCATGGTTCTAGTGGTAGAGTACCATCTGAGTGAGCAAGCCATGCCAGTGTGGGAACCTGTGTTCAATCCCAAGTGAGAGAGAAAGAGAAAGAGAATCCCCGTACCATGGAGGAAGATGTGACAGAGGCAGGATAGCCATGTGGATGTGGGAAGGAGCCGGCCCTAGAGTGTGGGCATCAGTCTCATGGTCTGCAGCGCTGTACTCAATTAAAGCATCAGCCCCCAAAGCCAAATTGGATTCTTCCCCCAAAAAAATCAACCATAGGCTGCCTCATTTCACCGCAGATGCTTATTTTTAAAATGGGATGAAAATGCTGACTGTATAAAGATTTTTGTCAGACTGCAGGCTTTAAAAAAGCATTTAATTCAATCTGGCATCCCAGAGAGAATGTAAATCTGCTACAAAGTGAGGTTGATGGGCAAATGAGAGGTGCTTCTGCTCAAGCTCTCAGTCAAGTGCATCTCAAGACCAGGCCATCAGATGTGAAGTGTAAAAAAAAAAGCACGCAACAGATATACTTAGGTAAGAAACAACAGGCTCCCCTGGCTCACTCCTTTATCTGGTCTGCATAAACAGGACAGACTTGCCTGAATTTGTGGGAAAGCCCTGAGCAACGTGCTCCCCGCAAAACCTTCCAAACGTCTGTCACCTGCTTCCTCGCTTGCTGTGAGATGCTACCATGTCAGACCCAGTCTCAAGGTGTTCCAAGTGACTGCAAAAAATAATCAGATGCAGACAAATCCTACCAAGGATGACAAGGAAGATAGATGACAAGGAAATAGCTCAAAGCATTCAGTGTGTTAGCATCTGGCATTGTAGTTTAGAAATAAAGCAACTACTAAGATGTATGAAAGATTCCTGAACCCCATCAAAGAAGAAGTTCCCATTATGGGGCACTGTGGGAGATTAAAGGTAGTGCAAACTTCCACGACAACTTGCGATGTGTGATCCATGTCTCCTCTCCTTG